CCTTGTTAGAGAAAACAGACACAAAACCAGAGAGTTGAACAGCTGTCTTCTTTCTATCACTAGTTATCATTAATTAATTAATAATTTATTAAACATCCACTATAGGTGAGACAGTGCTAGGTGCTGGGGATATAAAGACAAAACAAATCAGTTCTTACCTTCAAGGAGCTTACATTCCATTCAGGGAGACAATCATGTACGTCTATAGGCAAATAAAAATACAGAATAGATATAAAGTAATGGGGAGAGTGCATTGGCAGCTGTGGAGGGTCAGGAAAAGTTAGTAAAAAAAAAAATGGTGCTTAAGTTGAGCCTTGAAGGAAATCAGGGATTCTAAGGCTAAAGTGAAACGAGACAGCATTTCAGGCATTAGGGGCAGTAGATGCAACAGCAAAGATGTGGGAGATAAAGTGTTGTATATGAAAAACAGGAAGACCAGTTTGAATTGTCTAGTAGTTGAAGGAAAATGATATATAATAAGGATGGAAAGGTATGTTCAGACCAGGTTATGCAGAGTTTTGAATGCCTAACAGAAGAGTTGATATTTTATTGCAGAGGTGATGGAAGTGACAGGACCAGACCTGCCTTTTAGGAAAATCATTTTGGCAGCTGTGTGGAGAAAGAGGCTTGCGACAGGGAGAAAAATTGGGAGGTTATTGCAATAGTTCAGGTGAAAGTGATAAGGGACTGAGTTAGGATATTAGCTATGTGAGTAGAGAAAAAGGGATAGATTGAGAGATTGTGTGGATGTAGACAACAAGACTTGGCAACTAACTGTATTTGTAGGATAAGGATGGGAAGTCAAGGATGAATGGAGGTTTCAGACCTGGGTGAGTAGAAGAATGGTACAGTGCCCTCAAAAGAAATGGAAAAGTTTTCTGTTTTGGACATGTTGGATTTGAGAGGTTTATAGGACAACCTAGAATGTCTAATAGGCATAATAGGTCATAGGGAGCTAGGGATCATGAGAGAGACTAGGCTTGGTTATATAGATCTGATATTCATCGGCATAAATATGATAATTAGATCCATGGGAGTTGATGAAGATACCAAGTGTAGGCTGCAGAGGGCCAGGGTTCAATTCATGGGAGGATCAACACAATACATCGTGGTAACAAGTCTTTGATATACATCCTCGAATGTCAGCAAACCTTTCTTTCATTCTTATTGGTTTAACAAATAGTTGCCTCAGTACCCTGTAGCAAGATGTTGGAGAACAGAAGAATAAGGAGAAAGGGAAGGAAACAGAGCTTTTAAAAAGGGAAAAAAATATGAGACAACTCCTGACCGGGGTGAGGGGGTTTTAAATGTTCTGAATGGGAAGAAGCTGCTTGTGTTCCAAAGAACGATATAATAAAGCAACAAAAAATGACAACATAGACATTTCAGCTGCTCAAATGGGACACACAATTTTGACACTGGAAACCAAAACCAAAACCAAAACCAAAAACAAAAAAAGAGTAGCAGAGGTACTATTTGTGAAGGGTAGAGACGCAGCGGGCTGTAGTGGAAATAACATTGGATTTCTGGCCAGGGGACCTGGCTTTCAAACTCAGCTCTGCCACTTAAAACCTGTGTAATCTTGGGAATGGTTCTTGCTAGATGGCCCCATATGTAAGAGAAAGAAATTGGGCTAGCTGGTCTCTAAGGTCTCTTTCTGTTCCAAAACCTGATCCTACAAACTCAAATTAGTTCAAGGAAAAGAGTAAGCAAAGTCGTAAGTGTGAAACCTAGCACCTAGGGCAAATTCTGTTACAGAGGCAAGAATGGGGGTGGCAACACAGAAGATGGTCTGAGCCAGGATTCAACTGCACCAGGAATGGATGCAGATCTCCCAGAGAGTCCATTCACTGTCCATGTGGCAGTGAGGGCCCTAGAGTGGGGACAAGTGGGTCCTAGAGCCCTAAGAGAGGTATACCATCATAAGGGCTGTTATAGACTGGTAAGGAACTCATGGTGAGCTACAGAAGGAAGCAACCCTTCTTCAACCATGTTGGTCCTTAGGTCAAAGTCCCAGTTTGCTGCTAGTTAAGGTTCTGGATGAAGGGGAGGAAAGGAAGTAATTTTAATTTATTTCAGTATTAAGCATTTTTTAGATTTAATTACTTCAATGTGATTTCAACAAATGTCTAATTATTTTTAATCAAATTCTGTTTGTTTTGGTCCTCCATAATTCATATGTAATTATTTTCATATAACAGTCAATTCAGTAAATGGAACAGAAAAAACTGAAAACCTCTAAGCTTTCTTCAGACTCAATTCCAACTTATTCCCTGGAAAGGAGAGTTGAATGTTTGAACAATTACATGACCTCACCCCTGCAAGAAATGAGTGCCCTGTGGTGAGATCATGGGATTTTATTGTAAGGATAGATCTTAAAGTTAATCTAATCCAATCTGGTTAATTTACAGATGAGGAAACTGAGGTCTGGAGACAGAAAAAGCCTTGCCCAAGACACACGGGTAGTAATAATACAATATTGGCAAGAAGGAGCATTTTGAGCCAAGAGGTGAACTGACTTCAAAGATTTGTAAATATTCTCCCATCCCAAGTCTTTTTGGAGCTCTTTTATACTTTAGTACTTGGAGAATTGTAGAATAGACACCCAAGTGTCATATCAGATTTTTATTTTCCTTTCCTTCAGAATATAGCCCACAGCATAATCCTATCCATGTATCTTTTAGCTATTAACAGGATTCTACTACATAAGTTTTAAAAATAAAATTATTTGTCTGATTAAGAGGCAGTGTGGGTAGAAAGCTGGCCTTGGAGTCAGAAAGACCTGAGTTAAAGCCTTGCCTTCAACATATAATGACTGCAGTCAATTCATATAACCTTTCAGTGACTCCAGTGGCTACAACTGGCTAAGGTGATAATAACTTCCTTTTGTAGGAGAAGTTTGCTGTTTGAAAGTTCTCTAAACCAATTTAATCACAAATCTTCCCTTTTGGTTTATTGTATTATTTTTTGGAAATGGTCATTTTTCTCTAAAGTCTTCTTCCAGTGCCTCATTATGGCATGACCCTGGACTCTCAACACCTGGCAAGCTCTGGTAGTTCTTAAGAAATTGGAAAGACCAATCCCAGAGATGGATTATATGTCTACAGAACCAGCCTGGTTAAGTGCTAGGAACTTCGATTCCCCCAAAAATTGGCTACTAGGTGATTTTTTTGGGGGGGTTGGTACTGCAACTCATGAAGACTTCCACCAAAACATAATGTGAATGGGTGCAAGCAGTACTCATGTTGATGAAATTGTGGAACTTTACAAAAAGGAAGTAAGAAAGTTCTTTTGATGGGGCTGATCTGGGCCACAAATGTATCACAAACTCCTGGCCACTAAGATCAAACAAGACATCTCTTCCCAGAAATAAAGGTTCCATTTCATGCTGCAAAACAGGGACAACAAAGCATAGACTTTTTTTTTTAAAAGGAGAAACTAGTTGAGTGGAAAATGATATTCACAAGCCTGTCTCCTCTCCAGAAAACCACTTCTTCATAGTCATAGCTCACATTTATATAGTGTTTTAAGCTTTACAAAGCATTTTCCTCCTAACTCTGTAAGGTTGATAGCTAACAACCAAAGGGCATTATCTGCCCATTTTGCAAAGTCAAGTGTTAAACAAAGATTTTGTAATCTTAATCTTATCAAATGTAAAACATGAATTCTTTATGATCCAACACCCTTATTGTGAGGTGTAATCAATAAAGCATTGGCCTCAGAGCCAGCAAGCCTGCCTCAAACACTGACTGTGTGACCCAGGACAAATCATTTACCCTCTCAGTGCTCTATGCCACTCTCTTTAACTACAGACTGAAGAAAAGGTATTGGCCTACATTGATAGAAGGAGTTTTCACATTCAGGGGTTATCAACACAAAAGAAACTGATACAGCTCCTTAACTTTGTGTAAACTGCATCAGTTCACACAAGGTTTCCTAAGTTTTTCTTAAACTGTCCCTTTCCTAATTTCTCTATTCATTTTCATTTCCAGAGTCATACAATAACTATTTTGATACAGACATATGCAATAATAACATCCTTCATTCTGAAATTTTATTTGGATAAAACCTAAGAATTGCAGTTTTTTTAAAAATCAGAAATAATTTCAAGAAGATAATAAATACAATCACAATTTATTCACAATTATGAAATGTGTTAACTAGATACAACATGCTTCTCCTTTTCCTCCAAAGAATACTCTTTCAGTATTGTTTTGCTACATACATCCTCCCAATATCTCCCTTCATAGACGGCTCACAATTTTTCAGCATACTTTTAATTTCCCAATAGCTGGTCTCCTTAGTTTAGATTCCACCAAGGTCATGCCCCACCCACAGAGGTGGGTACCTTCTGCCAGACCCTTTCAGCTTCCTTTTGTGTATTGTCCTCCTGAGCAGATTATAAACTCCTTGAGGGCAGGGACTGCCTTTTTTTTTTTCTTATTGTATTCCCAGCAATTAAAATATTGCCTCCAACACAGTAGGAACTTAATAAATGCTTATAGCCATTAGCTATAAATACTGATGCAAAATTTTTAAATAAAATATTGGCTAAAAGGCTACAGCAACCTGCTGCACAGGCTGCATGAGAACCTTTCCGAGGCTCTATTAACTAAGAGAAAATTGGTCAATATAAGCACTCTGTTGCCTCCATATAAGGTGCTCTTTCAGCAGATGCCTAGGTAAACCAGCCATTGTCTAAAGAGAAACCCATAAGACCTTGGTTGCAGTCTCAGCTCCTACGCGTACTTGCTGTGTGATCTTAAGCAAGTCAGTCCCCCTCCTTGAGCCTCAGTTTTCACTTCTTTAAACTGAGGTGAAGTGGGCCAGGAGAGCTTTAGGATTTCTCCAAGTTTTAACCTCCATTAGTTCTCTAATTAAAGAAAACATTTTGATCTCTTTTAGCGCTGGGCCAGGGCTTGGCCCTGTTCCGGCTTGTCCAAGTCTGAGTCCCATCCCTCCCCCCAGCTTCTGAACTCTGGGCTCCAGCCCAGACTCACCAGCATCAGGAAGACCTGAAAACTCCACATGCCTTGAGGGGATAGAGAGCAGCCACGAAGAGATCTCCAAGGATGGAAGATGGTACGGCGTACCTCGTAAAGCAGGCTCAGCCTTATTGCCTGCTCTGTCTTAAACTGCTTCCTCCGCCCTCCTCTGCCTCTTGTCTTACACTCGGTGCTCCCTCATCCGTGACCTGGGTGCAGCCCTATTGATTGCTCGATTCCTGTGTAAGCTCCTCTCTTCCCTGCAGCTCTTAGTCTGGGGCGTGACGACAGCAAAGTAAATAATATTATTTTTTTTCCCTGTGAAAGTGGCGGGTGGGGGGAGTTGAGTTCATCAAATGTAGCATGCCCTTCTGCCAAAAAATGTGGGGCGCTCACTTTTCAGGGAAACGTTCCGTTTATGTTTCGGGTATATAATCATTTCAATATTAAATCTAGTGCCTTTGTGAAAAATAGAGCAGAAAAGTTTTCTCCCAAATCTAAAAGAAATTACCAAATTTGCCAGCCATTTAGTTCAGTGGCAAGTCTATCTTCAAGATAGCCTATTCCCATGTGTATTGGCTCCTCTAACAGTCCTTCTTAGACAAAGCTTCTAAGAGTCCAAGAGGAAAATACTTTTAACTTTGCATTTCCAAAGTACTAAGGGAGTTAGTTAAAGGAGGAAAATATAGACATCTTTAGCAAACATTCAAAGGGTGTCACATGTTAGCCTAATGCAAAAATTGCTGCCGTAGGAGTAAATGATGTTTCAGTTTACTGGGCAAGTCACTTGCTGTTCATGAACTTTGTTTCTCCATCTTTAAATGAGAGTTTTATACTAGATCAGAGATTCATAATCTTTTTCGTGTTTCTTGGACTCTTTCGGCAGTCTGGTGAAGCCTATGGATCCCATCTCAGAATGTTTTTAAATGCATAAAAAGATAAAGGATTACAAAGGAAATTAATCATTATTAAAGTTAATTTTAAATTTTAGTTTTAAAATTTTAAATTATAAATTTTTATTATTTTTTTAAACAGTTCATGGACCTTAGGCTAAGAACTGTGGGACTAGATGATTTCTAAGGTTTCTTCCACCTCAGACACTCCATGATTCCACATTTAAAACAAGATTCCTTGTATAGCAGAAAGAGCATTGGACTAGTATTCAGGAGACCCTGACTTTAGTTCTAGCTATGCAAGTATTAATGTATGACCTTGAGGTCATTTCGCTTCTCTTAACCTCAGTTTGCTCATCTGTAAAATGAATGGCTTGGATAAAATGATATCTAGAGAGAGCTCTGCCCAACTCTGACAATTCTGGAATTTTTTTAAGCTCCATTTGACTCTCTTTTTTCAATTGCTAGGGGGAGGTAGGGAAATGCATCCTTGTGGGGATGTTAATGAGTGAACTCTTCTATCCACTAGGGAAAGTACACATTTCTTAAATAAACACTTACATTAGCAATGAGTAATCTTAAATAATTCTAGTTGTATTTCTACCTTCAGATTGCGAGCCTGTTTTCATAGTTAATAATTCTTTGGTTGAAATAGAAGACAAGTTTAAATGATCATATTTACATTAATGGAGACAAGGTGTTCAAATTTTAACGGATTCAGCTTGGTATAATGAAAATAGTATAGCTCTTGGGAGTTAGAAAAGACCCAGGTTTGAATCTGATCTCTACCACTTACTATCTTTATAATCCCTCAGTAAATTATCTAACCTTTCTGAGCTTTAGTTTCCTCATTTGTAAAATAGGGTTAATAATACATGTAAGTACTTCCCCCATAGTGTTGTCTGAAGACAACGTGAAATATTGTATGTAAAGCCTCCTACAAAACTTTGTGATACATAAATGCTATATAGCATTATAGGATTATAGTGCTGAAAGGGACCTCAAAGGCTGTCTTTTCCAACTTGCTCACTTTACAGATGAGAAAACTGAGACCTGGGTCACTCGTTATATTTCAGACTGACGTTCCTTAATAAATCCAAATTAGGTGTTACTGCACTCCTAAAAAAGTAGATGTACTTTAAAAAAATATTATTTCATCAGCCACAAGGTGGCAACTCTCATAAAGCAAGATTTTGCAAAGATTATAAATAACAGATTAGGGAGAAGCTTCATAGGATTAGAGATTCTGAGCTAAAAAGGACTTTAAAGATATAATCTAACTTCCTCATTTTATACATGAAGAAACTGATGCCCAGAAAAATAAAAAGTTATTTCCTCCATTGTAACAAAGGTAGTCAGGATACCTGGAGCATACCTGGAATTTGAACCCAGGTATTCTGATTCTAGTGTTTTTTCCACTATATCATTTAGGACATGAAAATAATGATTCAAAAGATTTTTAAAATGAATTACCTATCAGAGGCTTCAGTTTGTATGTTGTTTTGGGTTTTTTTTTTCCTCCCTTGGATGTTTAGTATCGTGGACAAAGTAGAAATGAGATGAATAAAAGAATTACTAAAGAGTGAAGATTCAGGTAAGGTTAGATAGCCTGATATATAGTCACTCAGCACAGCTTCATGACTTTTCCCAACAAGACTGAACAACCCAGAATCACAGCTAATAAGAGTTGAGGGTCATGAAGGATCTTTTTTGAGGTCCTGAACTCTTTGGCAGTCTGGTGAAGCCTGTGGAACTCTCTCAGAATGGTTGTTAAAACCACCATTTAAAAATGCATAAAATAAAGTACACAGGATTATAAAGAAAAATAATTGTACTGAAATAGCAACTTTTTTAAAAATGTAGTGTGGCTGAAAGTGCTGGATTGAAATGAAATACTGAAATTACTCATTTAAAATTAAGAACCTACCTTGTGCAATATACTTGGTCTAGAGTAAAGATAGTTTAGATAAGATCCATGCCTTTATAGAGCTTATAGCACAGTAGGGAATAGGACAGATAAAGATGGAACTTTAATACAGCTCACCTGCTAAGTACATTTGAGTTATGAAACAAAGAGCTATGTGAACTCTTAGAGAAGGGTCACCAATGAGGGATAATGTGTATGTGTGCTAGAGAATCAGGGAAAGTTTCATAAAAGAGATGGTACTTTAATTCAGTTTTAAAGGGTGGATAGGAATTCATTATGCAATGCAGTCCAGATTGGGTAGGGAGGAAAATAAAGCCAGATATGAGACGATGGAATAGAACAGGGAAGAGTCAACAAGCAGGTGGTGAGAACCAAGGTCAGATCTTAAAGAATGAAGGAATGGTAGAGTCACATAAGTGTAATAAGACAGATGACTCCATTGAATATCTCGAAAGTGGAAGCTATTCTGAATGACCTTAAGCTATACAGTATGGATTGGTGAGTAGAGGAAATGAATGCAAAATGGGAGTCACTGCATTTGAGGTCAAGGAGCTGTAAGATCAGGATTTTAAAGCATAATCAACATGGGCACCGAAGTTTTAAGGCTGGATGATGGGAGTGGATAAAGTATATACTTGTGGACCAGTGGTTGAAATCATTAAGGAAAAGACAAGAATATGTTGCATCTTGGTAAACACTGGTGAAAAGGATGACAAAAGGTGGCATAATGTGTCAGTCAAAAAAGTGGGCATTCCTATCTCATTCCAATTAATAAATATCTTTGTATTCGATTGGAAATAATTTTTTTTATGCAATAGCTTAAATGTGTTCTTTGAAATGTGAATAGTCACCACCTTGTGGATGACAAAATAGCAACATCCAAAAAAAGAAAAACTACAAATACATTCATATATATATATATAGATATAGATATGTGTGCATATATTTACATGTGTATACATATTTATGTATATACACATATTTTAAACTCAGTTTGATCACCCACTGGCCAGATTTGACTCTTTATAATGTCCACCTGGTTCCAAAAACCAAATCTGCCCTCACAGGTTGAAGATTTTCCATGATCATGGATATTTGAAGCAATGTATCTTAGGCTTTGAATGCAGTTACCAAAGATACGAGTCTGAAGGAGGGCACTTCAAGATTCATAGTTAGAACAAACACCCAAGTGACAATTTTGAAGGGAATTATGGAGAGACAGCTTATTGTTGGAAGACTTGGGTTCAAATTCTCCTTTTGACACATAATTGGCTCTCTTATAACACATATAGGACCCTGCACAATTTACTTAAGCTCTTTGTGCCTGAGGCTAGTTTCTAAAACTGGGATTTCTCACCTGAAATTTCCTACACCAACGAAATGAGGTTTGGAGATTAGACAGATGGCAGACAGACAGACTGACAGATAGATAAATGACATGGTGCAGGAGCAGGAGCCAAATTCTATCTGATACTCGTTAGTTGTGTGACAAGGTGCAAGTCACCTTTAAGCTTCAGGAAGCTGCCTAAAACAAAGCTTTGAACAGGTGGCAACCTTCCTTGATAGTGGAAGCACCCACACCAATGAAATCACAGACAATTCACTCACCCACAAAGCTTCATTATTTTATTATTTCTCCAGCACTTTCAAAGATCTAATTTCATTGTGGTTCATTGTGCAGAGTTCACTCCACACAGTATGTTGCTTAAGAGGCTGCTCCCTCCCCATCTCAGAAAAAAAAAAATCACTGGTTGGTCAACTCTGGTAACACACTTACCTTTACTTACCAGTCTGTTTCTCAGTTGAAGAAACAGTCCACCATTTGCCATCTGGATAGCATAGTAGATAGTGAGCTGGACTTAAGAGTCAGTAAGTCCTGGGGAGGAATCCTCACTTACTAGCTGTGTGGTCCTGGATAAGTCATTTAACTGGTTTGCCTCAGTTTCCTCATCTGTAAAATGGGGATAATAATAGCACCTACCTTACAGGGCTTTTGCGAGGATATAATGAAATAACATATATAAAGCATTCTGCAAAGCTTAAAGCATTATATAATGCTGGCTGATATTATTGGGCCCACGTCCAAAGCCTTCTTACTTTTTGTAGGACCCTACAGAGGCTTGTGTTTGCTGGCATAGCCTTTGATAACCTGGAGTGACCTCCATACATGATAAGACATCAGAGAAGGGCTGTAGGAAAGGATATCCCCCCCTGCCCTTGGGGGAAAAATATACATTGATTAAATAATATAAGGTTTGTAAAGCTTTTGATAAAACAATTGAGAAATTTAATAAATTATACTAAGAATGTCACTAAAATGTCCATTCCCTTTGACCTAGAGGTTTCATGTGAGGCATATACTCAAAGGATATGAAAGAGAAGGAAAAAAAAAAGGCCCCAAATACACCTAAATATTTATAGCAGCACTCTTGGTAGTAGCAAAGAATTGGAAACAAAATAAGAGGCCTAAATATTGGGGGATAACTAAAGAAATTGTGGTACACATGTAATGGAATATTACTGCTCCAAAAGAAATAATGAATATGAATATAGAAAAACAGAGACTTACAGGAAAATGTATATGAACTGATAAAAGAAAGCAGAATCAGGAAAACAATATATACACAATGACTATTTCAATGTAAATAGAAAGAACTACAATAAACAATTGAAATGATTACTGTATAATCATAATGATCAATCTTGGCTCTAAAGAAAACAGGAGAAAATACAACTACCTCCCTTCTGTGTGGAAGTAACTATCTATGCATCATACTTATTTGATAACGTTGGCTAGTTTTTTGGGGCTGATTTTTACCCTTTGTCAGGACAGTTCTCTGGGGTGGAGAGTGAGAGAAATATATAATGAAATGTGACAACAAAAGATCTCAAGATATTAAAATTTTTTTAAAAGAAACTCCATAAATTTAGAATTTGGAATGCTAAATAATTTCCTCAGCTATTCTTTGACTTCACAGCTAGAAAGTAACACGCTGAAGCAGGGAATGAAATACCATATAAAACAAACCAAAGAACCCACCTTGGATAAGCATGATTTTGTTTATTTAAAAGCAGAGGCCCAAGGAGTCACATATACTGTTTATTTTATTCACTCTCATTAGCAAAGGCAAGCATACAACAGTTGTAACAGCAAATAATCCAAGCATGCCAAGGATAGTGCCCTTCACAACTGTTTCTTAATAAGAAGCTCTGCTTCTCTGTTATTTTCTAGAAATGTACCTTTAATAGTTAAACACATGTAATTTGAGTTAATATGTGCATAAGGAAAATTAAGACATTAATAAATAATAAACAAGGAAAATTAATATCCATGGAAATTCCTGTGTCTTTCTTGCAACTTAAAACAACAGGCTCAAAAACTATCATACATTTTCTTCCTTCCAAGCTATTATACAGCCACATCTTTCCGCTGGCCATTATGTTGCCAATGTCACAGTTGCTCCATTATATGTCATTCTCAATTTGTTTTTGGAGCTCCCAAACCTCCAGATGACATTTTCATGACAGATACTGGGTAGCTTTCTAGGATAGTGCGATCATCTTATTGTACAAGTCTGCTTAAGCCTGTTACCTTGATATTCAGAATTTAATCTCTTAGAAACTTTTGAAATGTCTTAAAAGACAATTGAATAGTTTCTTCAACCTAAAATCTCAGCTGTTATCACGAGTACCACTGTACTGTACTGAGCTGTTAGCCACTGGCTTTTTTTTTTTTAGATTTAAGTTTACTTCAACAATAAAGAGAATGCTTCCAAACAAACAAATAAATAAATGCTAGCTGATTATTGGTATCTTTTGTAACTTACTCCTGTGCTATTACAGTTTTCATTAACCTAAGCTTGTTGCTCATGTTGGGCAGCAATTTGGACAGTCTAAGTGACATCTGGACAAGTCCTACAATTGCAGAAACCATTTCCTGAAAATGTGTTATTTCTTGAAGTACACTAGAAGAAACAGATCCAGGGCACTGGCCGGTATTCTGATAAAATTTAGGAATTAATTACTGTACTTCACAAGCATGTTCATATACATAATGGGAAGGATCTAAGTCACCGAGGGATCTGATACAATATGATTCATGTGTCAGAGTAAACCTCTATAATTTGTCCCATCATAAATCAGTGAATTGGCATTTTACCTGTTGGGACAATTCTATTATCAACCTCGGGGAGAAAAAAAGAAAAAGGCTATTCACTAGGGGATCTTAGCATATCAAAATGTTATGGAAAATCAAAGCAATCTGGCCGGGGGAGCGGGTGGGGGAGTGAAAACATAAAGGTAGATAAAACCTGTCCCTTTTTCAAGCTCAAAAATGCTGTTTGGTATATTAATATTCTCCTTCCACCTTTCCATTACGAATTTCTTTTTTGAAAAGCAGTCGCTCTCAATTAAGTAAGCTGGAAATAGATGTGTTTACAGAAACAGGTTTTAGGTCATTGAGAGATAGCAGCTCAAGTGCATAAAATGAGTGAAGATAAGGTAAGAATATGCATTCAAACTAATTCAGGCTCTCAAAACTACCACCCAAGTCTTCCACTATAGGGAAAGGTGGCAACTCAATTTTAGTCATTTAGTTTCACTGCAAGCAGCCTCTATCAAAGCATGCTTGCTTAGATTTTATAGTTATGACACCACACAGTAAAGTACCACATGCCTCCAGCAAAGAACATAAAGTAATACTTCAAAAACTGAGCAAAAAATGATGACAGGTTATAGTCCTATAAGTTGTAACTTTATATACAGAAAACTGTTTTTAGCCTACTGTACTCTACATAGATGGGGCACTTCTATGAGCAGCAATGCCAGAGAAGGATGCATGGCATAAAGCTGCACATTTGCATACAGAACCCTACATGTGAACAGCATTAAAGGCAGGCAATTCATGCACTACATTTTTCCATGTATCATGCGTATACTAGTGCAAAAGCTACCACAGTATGTTTGGGGTTTACGAATGTTAGAAGTAGGACTTAGTAGTATATGTACAACATTATTTTTTTCTTTTTTGGACAAAATAGATACAGGAATTATTAGATGAAAAGGAAGAGCTTCTGTAACCAGTTGATAAGAAGAATAAAGGTTTTAAGAAGAAGAACCTGAGAAAGTATTTGAATTAAAGAAAAATGTATCCTCAAAATAAAATTTTAGGATGGCAAAATCATATTCTTAAAGTAATCTTAAAACTTAATATTGGCACACTATTTTGTTATAAATATATGTGGTCCTTAGAAATTTCCATTTGTCACTTATACAACTATTTAAATGACATTTAACCTACAGGCAAGGTTCAGAAAGCATCAAAAGGAAATCTTTGTATTTGGTTTTCACATTGCCAGTTTCCAATCAACTTTTATCATAACTTTGACAGACAAAAGATTAAAAAGGAGAAAAATATGATTAAATAGACTAACCACTTAAATGACTGAAATAAAGTCATAAAAGTGCACCATTTTTCAAGAAGTAAACAACTAAGAATTTTGAAGCCTATGAAAGTCAATAAGTTGAATAACACAACTAGAAGTCAAATACGTGTTATTAATCACAATTCACACAAGGACAGGCAGGACAAGCTGGGTGCCCTATGGGAAGAGCTGGAGATGTCAGGAGTAGGCTTCTGCATTGCCTACTACCCCTAGCCCACCCACTCCTTCAGTTGTCCTCCCATATGTGCTTTTGCAATCCAAATAGGACAATGCTGTGCTTGTCTTTAATAAATTATATTGAAGAAGTTCTGCAGGATGCAGCTGTTGGACCTGTAACTTAATGTCTGCCACATTCAATGTAGTTCCATGTTGATTTACTGAACTACTGGCACAGTAATTTCAAATTCTAAAAGTATTTTCCTCATTATGTCTCCCTTCAGAGACAATCTGACTTCCCAGAAATTTCTGGTATACCAAATGTTTCATCCCAACCCTCCACTAACGTGAAATCATATTCAAACAATTTTTAGCTAGGAAAAAAAAAATTCTGTGAAATATGTACATTTAGAAACTGGGTTTATTTTAAACCAAGTTTTAAAGTTCTCAAAAAAAGATCTAACAGTCCTCAGTTTAACATACTTGCTTCCCATGTTGGACTGTTAAAAGTATTAAAACACCAGAATCCATAGACTTTTAAGAGAAAGCAATTTAGTGATAAACGACTTAGCTCAAAATAGAAACTCCATATTCCATAACCCTGAGGACAAACTGAAGCGCTCTCTTAGAGCGTGAAATGAAGCTGACCCTATTGCTTATATGGCTAATGCAAAGGCAAGTGAGAGAGAAGGAATGCAAAGAAAAGTCTTTACTATTTAACTTCTATAATCCAACACCATTTTAAATAGTGTATTACTTATGTGCAAGGGAAATCAGGAGAGAGAATAACACTCTATCCATTCTGCATAGTTAAATCTGGGCTAGCTGGCTATTCCATAAACTTAGTTGGCTCTTCTCCAGGAAAAAAGAATTCAGTCTTGCTCATTCAATATGGCACTTACCGTATCTTCTCAAGCAAGAGAGTTTATTTTTACCTAAATGGTTCTCATTATCAGCCTAAGATTATTAACATAGAAAAAGGTTCATTAAAAGACACTTCTGAGATGACGCCCTTGGCATAGGAGGAAAAAAAATACAAGCCACTGAAATGTCAAGTAAACAAATTTCCTACAGATAGTCCCACTTGGTAAGACTTAAGTCACAGTCTTGTTCATCAAAAGGCATATTAATATGTAGCTTTCTGAATGACCTTTATAATTTAGTTGTTATCTATTTAAAATAAAATTACTTGAACATATAGGAGGCTTGCTTCCCTCCATTAGTTTTGAGTTCTCTCCCTGCTGTGGCTTTATTGGTAGGTCCATAGTTATTTGCATTTCCATTTCTCTTAGGATTTGGACGTATGGGTGCTTTGAGGGGCGTAAGATGATCAACTGAGGAAAGAAGCATCGGTGGCTGTTTGGGAATTCTAATGTTACCGCTAGCCTGAATCTTAGAACTACTGTCACTACATGGCAATTCCAGAAGTTGCTGCTTTGCACCTTCATTTGGTTTCTTCTTCTTTTCCTTCATTCTCATTTCATAGTTTTGCTTCTGGGGACATGACCTGCTACTAATTGCGTCAATAGTTTTGGGAGAACTCTGGAATACATAATATGATGGGTGGGCTTCTTCACAATGAACTTCTCTCTTGCGAAGATGAACTGCCTGGCTAGGGGGAAACTTTGTAAGCCCTTCAGGATGCACTGACATCCTGCTAGATAAAGTATTTGGAAACAGCCTGCTTTTTCCAGGGCTCTTTGCAGTCCATAAGGCACCAGGAGCAGTCTGAGGCCTGGCTTTGACTAGCTTTATTTTTTCATTTTGTACGGTTTGCATTTGTAGCCACTCTAGTTGAACAAGTCTATCAATATACTTCCCAAGAGACTCTATGGTCTGTGGGAGGAGCTCATTTTTGTACTCTGTGCTTGTTGTTGAAGCCATATTATTTAAATCCCAGGAGTTAAAAGGGGGTGGAAGGAAGTCAGGATAGTAATATTCAGCTTGCTCAGAGCCTTGATCAGTGTGAGGAACAAAACAAACTGGATCAATTTCTTCAGCTCTAAGGTTAAGTTCTGGTGGTGTAAAAGGAGAAGGTGGAATAGGAATTCTTTCAGAATCAGAAAGATCACTTGCGCTGTCCTCATCAGCATCTTCTTTAATAATACTCAATGACTGAAAGTCAAGAAATAATTTGCCCATTGAAGGCTCTGGAAATCTGGAACCAAATGGGGTAGCTTCAGCAACAGATCCTGGAATATTTCTTTTAGGGTCTCCTTCCATATAACTACTTGCTTTAAGTTCATCCTCAGTCCTTCGGGAGACATCTATAATACTGCTTTTCAACTGGGAAGGAATGAGGGGTAATTGAGATTTACTCAGCTTTTTTTCTAAGGGATCCTTCTTCTTTGAACCCTTTGCTCTATTCAGATGTGGGCCAACATTCATACTGCTGTGGAAAAGAAAGCAGCCATCATTCTTAGAATATATCACACAAAGATAAAAACTCATCTGGTTGTTATTAGAAATCAAAACAAAATAGGAACCCTTTAGTTTTACTTTTCAATTACTATACAGTATTAGTATACGGGCCCCCTATACTCCTTTGCAGAAAGGGTAGAATGACCCAGAATATTTAAATTTTCCATGTACTGATGGAGGACATTTAGTACAATCATGTCTTTTTTATGTAAAAGAAGTATTCTTCCCAAAAAGAAGTACCCAAAGGAGTATATTAATTCAATTTCCCTTCAACTATTAAACTTTAAGACAGTGTTTGGATGGGGAGAAGGAGGACACCTGCTTCAATTACTACATTTCCTTAAATGTCTTCATTATTAGTTTTAGAGAAATTTTGCATGCTTTATAAACATTTGAAAAAACTTCTGTCAAAATTATAATTCTGTGGTGTTTGTGATAAACAGTGCTTAATAACATTAACAAGTAAAATCCACAGCTTTAGTTTGCATGCCCATCTTTAATTTAAATGTAAATAATATGCAAAGTGCATGTCTCACAGAACTTAATCATCAATGAAAGCTGTGGTGATTTGTGAACTACTAAAAATTCTTTACATTTAAAATGCAGGAAAAACACAAATCACCTAAACCCCTATTAAGATATATTTTCAGAGAATGCTTTCAATTTAGAGATATGTTCAAAAAAATTATGATTAACTGAATGCAAAATCAATGTCTCACAAGAAGCAGCCAAACTGCTAGAGAATGGAAAGAATAAGGACAGTACTACACTTTAAAAGTTTAATGAATAAAATGGATTTAATGAATAGTACAAGCACTATTAGTAACATCACATCAAACTCATAAGATTTTATCATCAAACTATAAAGATTTTACTTTTTTTGGTTTATTTGTCCACAGGAGTATGTTACAGGAAAATAACTTTCTTTGGGATTACACATCAAAATTTGTACAAAGCTTAATTCTTAAGTATCTGGGATCTTACTCAGATAATGAGAATGCTGGTGGTTCAAAGAATGGCTTGCAATTTGAGTTTTGGTAATTACAGAAAAATGGGTAATACAGGGCAAGCACAATGCCCAGGAACCTTTCTAGGCAAAGATGTGTCATTTTGTAATTTACAATACCCTCGATTCATAAAAAATGTAACTTGTTTCAAAAATAAATCTAAAATTATAATGATCATAGGATCATAGATTTAGAACTAGAAGGGACCTCGGAGGTCATTTTGTCCAAACCTTACCTAGTAAGAATTCTCTCTACAATATACCCAAAATGTGCCTTTTCCCAAAATTCTCCTCTTTCCCCTCTCTTTTCTCTTCGCTCTCTTACTCTTCAAGTTATCTTGCATTTACAAATCTGTGTCAATATTATTTCCCTCAGGTAAAATAAAGTCTCTCTGTTCCTTAAAGGAACGGATTCATTTTTGTCTTCGTTTGTCCAGCATGGTGCCTTACCTGTAAGCTCTTAACAAGAGAATGTTAAATTGTTAAAATTAAAGAAAATAAGAGTGATTAAGTAATTTGCTTTAAATCAAAGTCATACAAGATAATCTGCAAAAGGCTTTAGAATATGGACATTAGCATGTCTATAGGTATGGTATAGAAGAAAAGACATAGTTGGAGTCAAGAGCTCTGGGTTCTGGCCCTAGGACTCTGCTATACAGGTGCATAGAAAAAATATGCTTTATTTACAAATAGCAATTTCAGAATTAGGATCTATTTTACCATATGTTAGGAACCAATTTGTGAAGTAATGGAATTATACAAAAAACACTTTACCTGCTTTTCTGACAAGATTCATTCATCCTATTCCCTTTCTTGTAAAAACTCCGTGACTGAACATCATCTAGGTAGCTGTGAGATGTCTGTGAAATAGGAATATGTAGTAAGAATCATTGTGAAAGTATAAAAACTGATCATGAAATCTGAGCAAATTCTTTCTACAAACATTACATTACCTTTTCTGTAGTGCTGGAATTATTCTTACTCAATCTGCTCGAAGATGGTGTCAGCTGAGGAAATGGTTTCTTTATTCCTCTTATATTTGGAAGGGATGTTCCACTGTTGGAACTAGAAATAACAGAACACTTCTTTTAAGTTATTATTAATAATATTTCTTGCAAATGAACCTAACATCAATATTGGGTTGTTAAAAAGCAAATAAGATTTTAAAAGCAAAAATAAAAGCTCAATGCAAAACTTAGGAGTAAAAAACAGTTGCTTTAATATTTCCCATACTCTTCAGACATCAGTTAGAAATGTACAAACTCTTTTCTGTACCTACAAACATGTCTACAAGATACAAGATCATGATGCTATAATTGCTCTAAATTATATCTCTACAGCATATATTCTTTTGGTGACAGTAAACTGGGGTAATAATGACATACAGTGTGGTAACTGACTCTTACAGCCCATTGTATCTGGAAGGACCCAGATAAATTTCACTTTGTTCCAACTTGTTGACAACTTGACTTTGCTACTCCGAGGTTACCCTTACATTCCCTCCCTCCCCCCAACCCCATTCCAATTCCAGCTCTGGAACAATCAAATAATCAATTCTGCCACTTTTCTTGGAAGAGTTATGTCAATCTACTCCCCAATGGCCCCACTCACCTCAACTTTGCAGACCAAAATGCCCCAACCTGGCCACTATTCTCCTAATCAATGTCATCTCCCTCAAATAATTAGAGTGTAAGCTCCGATCCTAGAGAACAAGGATGGTCTTTGCTCTTGTATTCATGTTCTCAGCACTTAACACAGTGACAAACTAAGGATAAACAACAACAATTTAACACAGTGCTTAACACAGTGGAAGCACTTAATAAAAGCTTTTCTCATTGCTTCATTCACATATTCCTACATGAAAAGTAAAGTGAAAGTTTATCATCCAGTACAGATACAGTGACGCTTTTAAAATTACCTCCGCCAAAAGAAACCTAAAGTAATGGCCTAAAAGTAATGGCTGGTTGACTATACAAAACCAAAGGAAAGCTCCTTAAATTTAATCAATGAAAATTTCCTTAAGTTGTATTCAAATTAAAAGGGAAAACATACTTATTTCATGAAAGAAAAAGGTCTCTGGAAAAGACAAATGGAAATTTACACAAGGATCACGTCATTTCTTTAATGAAAGCATCTTAAAATTTTTCATTTAATGAGTGGCCGATTATCCTTTGGGGGCTTGGGGCACAAATACTCTACGACTGTATCATATGTAAATCAATTAATTAAAATTAAATCTCATTAAGAAACCCTGGGGCCACAATAGTCACCAGTGAATCACGTGATATTTCTTAAGTCAAGAAGTATCCATTAAAACAGCTTCATCAGTGTGGGGCTAGTTTCTTACTAACATACCTTATCCAAATCGTTTCTTTCCTCAAAGTATATACATATATACAATTACATATATAAGCACACATACATAGACATAAGTTGTAGGTATATGCATATATGAATATAATTCACTTAATGCTCCAGTAAATCACAATTACTTAACTTAGAACGAAAAATATTTACTAACATAAAGAAGGAAAAAAATAGGTTTCCTTACGTTACCATTCTTTGGCGTGTTTCATAAGTCTGGTTTTCCTTTTTCTGTGTCCCTCTGGGCAGTAATAAGGGGCAATCTTTCATGCCTGGTCCCATAACTGCTCCCAAGAGAGTACGTTTGCACCTTTTTCATATCACCTTTTCGCTGTAAAGCCAAAGGCTCCAGCTCTTTGTACATTTAAGTAAGAAGGTGAAATAAGAAAAATGTCATCAGATCTTAAAGACGCAGTAAACAAACATGCACCGTTCTCTCTCACGTGGTTTTAAAAACCACCCAACTAATTCTAGTTGCTAAATTGCTTCCCATGCTCCACTGCTTGATTAAAGTCAGTTGCATTATTCATCACACAATATTAATTAAACCTTGCCTTCCTGTCACCAGCTAGTGAATGACAGAAAAATAGAAACACAGCAGTGCCCCCTCCCCCGGGAATTCGTCAGTCATTTAGGCCAGCAAAGCATTATGGGTGATGTGCAGAAATGACGCTTCACCTTACGCAGAGCTGCTCCAGCCGTCAGGTAAAAATGGTTCATCCTTTAGCGCTGCAGTTAATATGGTCAATGGGACCATTATGGCGAAGCTAGTTCCTAGAATAAGCTTCCGCCACCAAATGAAATAATTCCCCAAGGGTTGACTAAAAAAAAAAAAAAAAAAATCCAGGTATCCGCAGCAGTAATTTATCATCTTTCTAGCTTTTACTTGTACAAATATCATATTTACACCGTCCTGTCAAACTGACATAAATTGATTAGAGCTTCCTTTTCGCAAGCACAGAAATACGTGACTAAGCAGCCAGACTTACTTCCCCTTCTAGGTATCTGCCTCCTTCCCGGCAGCTTGCTACCGCAACTGCTGCCGCTGAGCTAGGCTGCAGCTGAAGCAAACCGAAATTAAAAAAAAAAAAAGAAAAAGAAAAAAACTGGGGGGAGGTACCACTGCGACACGCTACGGAGGGAGTGGCTGAAGAAGCTTGTCAGAAGCTTTGAAGGAAGGAAGAGAAAAAATTCGGGGACTGTTTAGCAAGGACAACCTTTTAGTTTTTTAACCCAATTTGAGGCTGGTGGAATAGGGGATTCCGGTAAGCGAGTTTGGCGTCACGGAAGGGGTGGGGCAGGGGCTCGGCTCCTAGGGAGCACCTTCTCAAATTGCAATCGCGTATGCTGTACAGCTGGTGTGGGGTTGGTGGGTGGGGCAGGGGAATTTACCCTTCCCGTAACCTTTTTTTCCTTCCTCCTTCAGTTTAGGAGTAGGGGGAAGACCCTACTCCTCCTCCCGAATTACCCCCTTCCCCGAACCCCTGTGGCGGCTCCTACAAGTTACTGATGGTGAAGGGGGAAGTAAAAGCATTCCCTTTTGAAATATCTTTTTAATTGCAACAAACGGAAAAGGATTCGGGCGCTTGTGGCAGCGGGAGATTGAAGGGAGTCCCCAGTGGCTTCAGTTCTAAGCTCCTTTGTGCAACTGTATCGTGACAGCTCTGGTTATTGCAGGAGCTTGGATAAAGGTTCTGCCAGACGTGCTGGAAACTGCCTGAGACTGGGAGAGAGGGAGGGAGGGAGAGAAGGAGAGAAGCTTGGATTCTAGGTCGCTCGTCTCAATCTCTTCAGCAACTCTCGGACATGTCTAAAGGGCCAGGTTCCCTTGTTCTGGCCCCCTCCCCTTGTTTGCGTCAGTCCGTACCCCGGACTGCTTTGAGGAGCCTCAGCAGCCTTACCGACTTGGACCGGGGCATGTCCCAAGCGCGGAGGCCAAGCAACCCCTTCTCGGCTCCAGGACCCCAGGCCCACCAACAGCAGCCGGGTTCCTCCAGCTGCGACCCTTGTTTGAGGCCCATTATTTACCGCCGGGCCCGATCGCTCCCCAGCTCCCCCGAGCGCAGGAAGAAGGCGTCGGGGAATGCAGGGGCCCAGTGCAGACCCGGCTGCAGTCGACAGCATCGGGTGCGATTTGCAGATGCCCTGGGTCTGGAGCTGACCCAGGTGAAGGTTTTCAATGTCGGGGAAGACCCGTCGGTTCCATTACATGTCCTCTCAAGGCTGTCCATCAACTCCGAGCTCTGCTGCAGTAGCCAGGACTTGGAGTTCACCATTCAGTGCCTGGTTCCGGACTTCCCGCAACCAGCGGACCGCAGCGACTTCTCTATCCGGCTCCAAGGCCAGCGCGTCTGCCTAGAGCGGGTCACCAGCTCAGACTTGGGCTTAAGCGGCACCATCCGGGTGCTTAACGTGGCCTTCGAGAAGCAGGTGACTGTACGCTACACCTACAACTGCTGGCGGACCCAGCAGGAAGCAGGAGCCCGCTGGCGCAGCAGTGATGGGGATTCAGATGTATTCACTTTCTGCTTCCCTGTACCCCCCTACCTTCTGGGGCTCAGTTCAGTGGTCCAGTTTGCAATTAGATACCGAGTCGGGGGGAATGAGTACTGGGATAACAATGAAGGTCAAAACTACAGTCTCAGGTGCCAGACCCATCCTCTCAAAATGCCACAGGAATGTGAGGAGAGCTGGATCCACTTTATTTGAGTTAGGGTCAAGGCGAATTTATTTTTTTTTGGGGGGGGGTGAAGTTTACTTTCAGGAAGAGTACCATAGGGGTTATTTAAAACCTTTGAAGTTTTTGTCATCCCTGTGAACATCTTGGAACATTTCTAACACATTATTCTGCATAAGTCAATACTTAACAGGGCCTATTTTATATGGGAGCCATACTAGCTGAAATTACAAGGAAATGTTAAAATAAGAATGAAGGAAGGGCCATAATAACTTTTGTCCCTTTCTCGTGGACTTCATGGCATATTCGTCTAAAAGCTAAACCATTTAGCTAATGGAATGGAGCTGCATTGTCTGTCTGCAAGGCCTACTTTCTGCAGTGTTTCCTTTATCCTAAAGCTAGAAACAAACTTGTTCTAGTAAAGTTTTAAAGCATGTGTATGTGCTCTAGCAAATTAATTTTTTAGTTTGGGAGACCGAGTCCTACTGTGTAATGTGGTATTTATGAATGTACTAGTCTGGCAAGCACTGCCTGTGGAGATTAGGTTTTGCTAAGTATTTTTGGAAAGGTCATTTCTCTCCTAGATTTGTAGGAAGGACTCTGATTTTTGCATGTGACCCAAATGTGTCCATAGAGCTCAGGCACTGTTAACATTTGTGATCTTGGTATGTTTTCCTGCAGACAAATGCCTTCCCAAGAATAGGGACATTTATCTTTTTAATAAGCTTAAAAAGAATGAGTAGTGTTGATTGTGTTGTGCCAGCTGTAAACAGAATGTACCACTTTGTGAGTGTGAAGAACATTATGGTACTTTATGGTATTCTGGTCACGTCTCCAATCAAATATGAGATCATGTTTATTTGTCAATCCACGGTTTACATCTCTGTAAGAGTAGAGTACTAGTAATAGTACAGAAATGTAAACTGAGTCACATAACCATTCATGTGTTGTGGTTTCCCTACCCATGAGGGTCTATATTGTACATGGGCAAGAGCCAAAGGTAGAATAGATTTAAAACATAATTACTTCTGCCAAAATACAAATGTTCTTGCAGTTGGCTTTCCTACCTAAAATATTTCCATTATAGAAGCCTAATAATTATTTGTCTGCATCAATATGTGTGTTTTATTGAATTATTCTATTTAGATTTGAAACTACTTGAACATTTTAAGAAACCTTGCCTTAAATTAGTTTAGTTGTCCCTAAATCCGGAATACAGTTTCAGGTGAAAGAGGCTTTTACTATTCCATTTATGGAGTTTAGATCATTTCTTATGTTTGTTAAACTATCAAGAAATTAGTCATGTTTCAGAGTGAAGATGTTACATAAAAGTACAAGACATTCATCAACAGCAAAAAGAGTGATGGTAATAAATCCACAGATATTTGTCCTTTTTTTTTTTTTTTTTTTTTGGTAAGGCATTTGGGGTGAAGTGACTTGCCCAGAGTCACACAGCTAGTAAGTGTTATGTGTCTGAGGCCGAATTTGAACTCAGGTTCTCCTGACTCTACGGCCGGTGCTCTATCCACAGTCCCACCTAGCTACCCCAATGTTTGTACTTTTTAAAAACTATTTAAACTGTGTGTCTGGCAGTATCAGATACCTGTAAATTTTAGCTGTGATCTCTTGTGCCTTCAGAAAATAGAGAACTCTAAATTCCAAATAATTTTTTTAGTTTTCTCTAAATTTGTAATTTTGAAAATGTTTAATATATCTCCTTCTCTCCAACCTGAGGACTGCATGGATAGGACAGTATTTACTAAAACCATACCACAATTAAATAAGAAGTCATTAGTACAATAATAACTTCTTATGGTGCTGAGTGGTATCTCTGACAGCTAGCATAGCAGATTAGGTGTCAACAAGTTCACTAAGATTTCAGATGGAAAATATTATAGCCAACACTGTGATGTAAGTTTTTGAATATCAGTTGGGATTTGCGAAATTAGTAATTTCAAGGTTGTTTTTGCATTTTAATCTACTTTCTTTTGCTTATAACTTGTGTTTAAGAATCCAAGAGAACACAAGCACTGTATCTGTAACCTCTTGATCTTAGATCTCCCATTCTCTGTATGGAAATTGAGCCATAGCTGGTTCTTAAAAATTGTGCCCTACACTGTCATGCAAGAGAGAGACAGGCCCAGTTGCATTTCCTGTTTTACTGTGGAACTAAGCCAAAGGCCTTTGTAGTCCTGGCTTCTGTGCACTTATCCCCTGCCAGATGGGGGAGCACAAGACAGTGGTTGGGTGTTTTTTGTATTATATCAAAATTGTTTGCTAAATTTTTTGGAGTGTAGCTAAAGGACCACAGAGAATATGTAAAATTCACCCTGTCACAAAGTGTTCTGTGTATGGAAAAATAGAAAATATCTTAATATATCTTACTTGAATAGTGCATCTTTAGGGTTTGATGAGATCAGCTCAAGGTGCCTTTAAAATGGTTAAGATTTGGAAATTTTAAAAGATGGAATCCATGAACAATTAAAAGACCAAATATGGCTAACTAATCAATAGGGAAGCTATGGAACACCTAAAGCTCTTTTTAGAACATAAATCCATATTAAACGTCAACTGTGTTGTTGAAATATTATATTGGATTGTATAATTAGTGGGCTTTCTCCTTGATCATTTTTAATATGATCATTGGTTTTTTTTATTTTTGCACCCATTTTTCCACTTATTAAAAGTTTTAATATATACACATATTGGTTGTTATTTCTAGCACCATTGGGAGTTTTTTCCTTGCCACCTTTGTATAACTTTGGTTTAAATTATTTCACACACAAGTTTTTCTCTCTTAAAATGCTTAATTCTATTTTAGCAAAAATGTGTTGGTTTTATCCTAAAATTTCAATGGCCTCCATATAAGTAGTAGTATAATCTAGCGTAAAGGAGGAATTTTTGTGTATTGGAGTGATAATGCTAAATTTTCAAAAGAACATTAAGCACTAAAGCCTATTCATGTATCTTGTATTATTTGTCAAAGCACAGATGATCGTCATGGATTCAGAAAAAAAAGAACATATTTACATTTACCTTTATAAAATCACAAAATAGTCACAAATAAGAGTTCAAGTATCATTTTGTCTCATTTCTGACTTGAGAAGCTTTTTAAAATTACATCGTTATCAGAAGGTGTGGAATTAATTTTGAAACTAGTGTTTCATTATTTCAAAATTCATTGCAAAGCACATCCCTCAATTTTACTGCAAATGAAAATGTATTTAAATTATAATAGTTAATTAAATTATTTTTATGTGTATAATGTTTAGTATAAAGTGGCCCAGGAAACTTTATTATATATTAAAATGAAATTCTTTTGGTACTTCCAATATGTAGGTATCAATTGCCCATACTTCTTTCTAAGACTAGACTCCATTCACATCTCTTGACTACCTCTAAGTCAGATTCTCTTTCTACTACCTCATTCTACATGTCCAATGCTACATTGTGGAAAAAAGCAAATACTATTTTCATGTCTCAGTGGATAATCTATAGTGACAGTAAGTCTAGTTACAAACAACAACCAGTCCATCACCACAAAAACTCCCTGGACCCAAAAAGCATGCTATAGAAAGAATTGAGCTTGTTCATTTCTTTTGGCCAGCCATTATTTAAAAAGGAAAAAAAAAGTTTACAGATACTAGGTAACTTTAGGTTAAGATAAATTGAGTTTGTTTTCAGACTTATTTATAGACTTCCGAAATAAATACCTACACTACTACTCCATTTTCAGGCTTTCAAAACTAGTTCTTTGTCCTAAACACTGTCTACTTTCCCAAGTACTTTTAAAAGCACAACTTGTCCTTTTAAGTAATTCCTTATTAAAAAGAAATTCAGTTCAAGGATTCAATTCATAAAAATTTATTAAGTTCTGTTAAATTAAGAGCACTCTGCAAAGAACTAAAATAATTCACTTGCAATGTATAGTATAGTTGGGGATAGTAAATATAGCATGTCCCAAAAGTCTTAATGCAGTTTTGTGAAAGCTTAAAACTAAAGGAGACACTCTGGATATAAATAACTACTATACATGCATTCAAAAAAAACAGGTGTTAAGTGAGGAAAGTTATCTACTAGGGTCTCTGGGGAAGCTTTATGGAGGAGGTGGCATTTGAGCTGGACTTTAAAAGCTGAATGAGATTTCTTTGTGCTAATGAGCAGGAGTGGGTAAGAGGATTCTATTTAAAGCACCTGCTCATAGTCTTTTTTTGTTAGGAACTCCTTTGGCAGTTCTGTGGACTCTCAGAATAATGTTTTTAAATGCATAAAATAAAATACAAAAGATTACGAAAGAAACAAATATTGCAATACAATTATCAAAATATTTTTTAAAAGTTAATAGACTTCAGATTAAAAACCTTATAAAGGGAACTGCTTTTTAAAGGCAATTTTGGCCTTTCTTTGAGATTTCATCCTTGCAATTATTTCTCTAGAAGTGTAAAGCTTTTGCTGAAGCATGGAAATTTGCAGCTGAGGATACAGACCCAAATAAAGTGTCTTGACCAACTTCACACAAGTAGTAAGTTGCAGTAATTACTCTTCTCTACTACACTGTTAACTGTTCTGTCCAACAAATTGTAATAATACAACTTTAAACTTAAGGAGGCCTGGGTTGTAATGGGTTAAAAGTTAGAGGCAAATTTTTAAAGCATCTGAACCTTACTGTACCTCTTATATTCAAGATAGCAAACTTCTTAGGCAGTAGTGACATCTACTGGCTCTTTAATATTTTCCCCTTTTGATATGTGAGGTTCTAGGGATGCTCCTGTGTTGATTACTCTGCTGATTACTTCAGGCCTCTGAACACAGGAGGCCCTCCTTAGTAATCCATTGTCTCTCAAGAGTTCAGCCACGCTATACACAGTGGAGAAACCAAATGGATTACCCAGGTTATAAATATAGTTTATTGAGTTAGTATATAAATCTTAGATGCTGCAGATGGATGAGCTGGGCCTACAGTTGAATAGGAGAGTGGTCTATGTCATTTAGAAATCTGCACAGTACTTTTCATTATCACAAACCTTAACCCCATAGAAAGCCATCATTTTTAATGTCACTTTTCTCTTGGTGATTCTATATGGTGGTAAATCATGTGACATGACTAAATATTCACAGTAGCAGACAACTTGGGGGGAAAATTAAAAGATTGGATAGAAATAATATGTAACATATTATTATGACTTTCCTGTGGCTAAAAGATGTTTCAGGTGGGCATATTAATGTCTTGTTAGAAGAACTGTGATTGATCTAAATATTTTGGGAAGTGATTTTTAATTATTCAAGGAAAGTGACTAAAAGTGTCTATACCCTTTGGCCCAGATTCCATTGTAGGATTAATGAGAAAAATAAAGGCTATATTACACCAAAACATTTACAGCAGCATTTTTGTGTGTGTGTGTGTGTGTGTGTCTGTGTGTCTGTGTGAGAGAGAGAGAGAGAGAGAGAGAGCAAGCGAGCGCAATGGCAAAGCACTGGAAACAAAAGGAAATGCTTATATTAGGAAATGGCTAAACAAACTGTGATAGATTAATGTGATGGATTTTACTATCCTGGAATAAGTGATGACAATGATGAACAGAGAGCAGCATGGGAAGACATGATGAACTGATACAAAGGGAAATAAGCAGAGTCAATCAGGAAACCTACACAATGATTACAGCAATGGAAATGGAAATGGCAACAGTACAACTGGCACAGAATACAGCAAAATTACAGTGACCATGTTGGCTTTAAGGAAGAGATCTGAGAAGATACCCTCTTCCTGTTTCTTTCCAGGGTGGAGTGTGGTCTAGGATGTGGAACACTACATACTGCAGTTTTTCAATATGTTGGTTACTTTTGCTGAACTATTTTTCTTCCTTTTCCCCCTTTATTATTTTATTATTTATTTTTATAAACAATAGTTATATTATGATCTTATTCCTAAGGGATCTAAGGGATGGACCTGGAAGTGGTGGGAGGAGAAATATAGTGGGAGATGCAGGTGATGTAAAATCAAAATATATCAAAATTTATTTAAATAAATATTCATTTGAATAAATATCTCCTAAAATATATAGCGTTCACAAAGTGGGTGAGTCATGTAACAAAGCTAGGGATAACAGTCTAACTCTCTAGGAATAACAGCTAGGGATTGACAGAAATTATATTAGTTAAACCAATTAAAACCATATTATGAACACTGGAAAACTACAGATTGTTTTCATTTCATCAATGTTTACTGGCCATCCATATTATCCTTATAAGATTTTAAATATTAAAGGAGGGAAAAAAACATCACCAGTCAGGAAGCATCTCTCAGCGAACGTACTAACAGATTGGACAATATTAATCACATGTAAAATTTATGTGGAAGAATTTGCCATCCTTGACATTAAAGGTATAGGCTGAGCAACTAGAATCTTTCAAACTACAGACTAATCACGATTTTGTTGCTGTATTAGGAAATTGCACCGTTTTCTACTGGCATCTGTGAAAGAACTGGAGTAAGGCCTCGAGCATGGAGGGGCAGGTTGTAAGAAGGATTTGTGGAAGGCAAGGACCAGAATGGCAGAGGATGAGAAGGCGAGGGCCAAAGGGAAGATCTGTCAAGACGGAATGCCCCTCACCCCAGTGATGGGGATCACTTCTTAGGGGCATCCGAGGCATTGCATGGGATTAACGGATTATCTGGTCGCTCCCTTGGATCATCTTTTGTCCTTATGTGGTTTGGTCTGGGGTGTTCTGGATGTCGTATTTACTTTGGTGGCATCTAAGGGAAGGCCTTAGTCAGTGGCTGGCTCGGTTTAATCTGCCCAGAACCGCAGCAGATGAGGGCCCGACGGGGTCAGTCAGCCCCTCCTCTTAATGTCCCAGAGGAGGAAGCTGGACGCCTGCCTGCCCAGGCTCCCACAGAGACTAGGGCCGAGGCCTCATTGGAACGGCCTGGAAGCTCTCCCGGGGCTTCGCCCGAGCTTCGCACTGGGCCAGACGGGCAGGTGGCGCCGCAGACCCCGCTCGGAGGCGGCAGAAAGTACTAGCGCGACGGGTTCCAGACAAGGCCGGCGGGCAAAGCCGCAGCGCCCGGTGCCCTCTCTAGATGTCCAGGGGGCCTGAAGCCCCGTGGGTAGTGAGGCATGCGTAGGCGCGGGGGCCTGGACCGCGGGGCGGGGAGGGGCAGAGGAGCTACCCAGCCGGGAGGGGGTGGGTGGAGGGATGGAGCCAGAGCCGCCCTCGATTTCCCCCCTCCCCCAGGGGTGGCTTCCCTCCCGCCCCACCCGCGGGTCGGGGAGGGGCGGGAGACGTCGGGACTGGGAAAGAGCCAGGCGGGAGGCGGGAGGAACCGCGCCGAGAGCGAAGGTGATTGGAGGAGGCGTTTCGCGCCTTTTTCTCAAGCGTGAAGCCGCAGCCTGAGGTAGCGTGGGAGAAGAGAGCTGGGGTCTAGCCCCAGGGGCCACGGCCACGATTCTGCCAGGGCTGGGACGACGCGTCTGGGCCGCGGCAGCTGAGCGGGTCCGCTTTCTACCTCCCCGCCAACTGCCAGGGGCTTGGGGTCGAGGGAGAGGCCGAAAACCTCCTCTTTGGGGCCAAACAGGGAGGCCGGCTTTCCCAACGGCCGAGGCCGTGCTAACGGCCCCACGGGGAGGAGGAGTAGGAGGGCGGAGGCGGTCCGCTCTGGGCCTGGGGGTGGGGGCTCCCTTACCTGAGGGGGGCCACGTCAGCCCCGACGCTTTCATTGTCGAGGTTGATGCATGCCTCCGTGGTGGGAGCCTTTCCTGCCCCGCGCCCCTGCTCCTTCCCGCAGATGATCGGGGCCGGAGGCGCCCGTCGCTCGGCTCGACCGAGGGGGCAGCAGGGGGCTTCCTGGGGCAGCGTCAGTCCCCCCGGTGGCGCTTTAAAGCCCGAGTTAGATGGATCATGTTTGGGCCCCGTCGGGAGAAGCCGGCGCCTTCCTTTCAGGCTCCCTAAGCCGAGTGTGGAGGGCGGGTGGGGTCGGGCGAGGGCCTACCATGCCATCATGAGGTGATTAACGGTGAGGGGATCTTCGGAATAACTGCGTTTTTGGTCCCGTTTCTGAAGGAGAATCTTAGGATCAGAGAACGGGCCTTAACACCCTGACCAACCCTCCTCGTTTTACAGATGAGGAAACTTGAGGCCTAGAGAGGTGAGGGTGACTTGCCCATGGTCACACAGGTAATAAGGACGGATGGCAGGCTTCAAACCCAGGTCTTTTGACCCAAACCCAAGGTTCTACATCGTACTGAGGTCCCTTTTTCCTAACAATGACAGCTCAATTTTGCCCTACTCAGAGAGGGTGGATTCGTAAACCAAGAAAAAACAAGATTTTGTCAAATAGTGACAAAGCTAATCAATTGACTAGAAATTATAAGACATTGCAGCATTTCACAGGAAATTTGTTGTCGCCTTCAACAAATTACCTTTTCTTAGGCCTGATTTTATCTTCAAAAGTAGTAATGACTGAAAAAGTTAAGGTTATTCTATTACATCTTCTCTCCAGCTTAATTTCTTGTTTAAAGTTGAGAATTTTTGATGAGTAGACTCTGACACCTAGTTTGGTACCAGATGCTCTCAGCTGCTCCCCTTTTTTGGTTAATTTGCTTGAAAAAAAGGTTTTTCTCCTTCCTTTCCATTTCCATCTGCCTAAAAGTTTAACTTTCTCATTTTGTCTTCTGATCTTTCTATATGTTTATTACTAATTTGGTTTCATATTTTTTATATTTAGTTTGAACAGAAAAGGTAAATGAATCTTATTTTTGGTCCTTGCCTCCAAAGTAGGATCCTTATATCTCAAAGAAGAAATATAGCATAGTACCGTGGAATTGTTAGAGCAGTAGGAGTCAGGAAACTGATTTTAGTTAAGATAGCTATGTGACATTATATAATTCACTTTACTTCTCTGGCCTCAGTTTTCTAACATATAAAATGAGGGAGTCAAATAATCTCCAAGGCCCCTTTCAGCTCTAAAATTCTTATTATCACTTGACCCAAATAAATATGAGTGATTTAATTAGTAAAAATAAAACTGAAATTAACACAATTTTAAAGAAAAGCAAAATAATTTTTGGTTTTGGTATGAATCGTTCAGTAGTGTCTACCAAATTCTAAAATGTTTCATAGACCATAATCATTTGGAGTAGAATTATGAAAATAGTTATATTTATATTTTCTTTCAAATATTTTTGTACAGTTTAGTTAATTGAAGTTGCCAAAATGCCAGTAAGACCTGAACTTCAGGTATGTTGTTATACGTTACAGTGAGATTATGTTATGTGTAATGTTAAGACAATATTTAGGGAAGTTTTATGTTTTTACATGTTTATATACTTATAATATAGATTTGTATAAATTATTATAAAAGGTTAAATAGTTTAATATATTTAAATGTCATTTTCAAGTACTTTACTTTATGTGATATTCTTGAAAATTATGTTAAATCAATTTATAACTTCCAATTTAGAATCTACCCTATAATAGAGCCTTTTAAACTGCAAAAAATCACTCTCTGATTGTTACTACAAATATGGACTCTTGTACATCAGGTTTTTTCAAACAAGATACATTTCCATATATTTGAACTTATTGAAATTTTTAAAATTAATAATCCATAGCTAAAGATTGTTTTTCATTAAAAAAAACAGCATGGAACATCAATACCACCACCTAACATTGCTTAGCAACTATTTACATTAAAATTAATTTTAAAACATAAAGTATCCCAACAGTTTTTCAGTTCTTGCACTTAAATTCCCATCAGTATTCTTTCCCTCTTTGCCATTCATTCTCATTCACCTTTCCTCTTACAGGGTTGTAGTTAGTATGAATTACAATCTTCTGGTTTGGCTTTGGTGTTTTTTGTTTGTCTTTAAGTGCTATAAGCAGTTTTCTAATGCAGTAATGGTTGTGATTAGTTTGTACTTTGTAAAGTTCTAATTGCTTATAATGGACCTAAATTTAATGTCAAGGATAGCACATTCTTCCATGTAAATTTTACATATGATTAGTGTTATAGTCAAATCTGTTAGTGATGCTTCCTGACTAATGATGCCTTTTCCTTCATTTAATATCTAAAACCTTATGAGGATAATGTAGATGGCTAGTAAGCCTTGATGAAATCAAAACAACGGAAATTTGTATGCGCATGGTTGTAATTGGCTTAATTAATAAATTAATTGGCTTAACTAATATCACTTCATTCTCCAAAACCAGATTATTTTTTACTTTTGCCTTAAATTGATTAGTTTCAACATAAAGTTCGCTTAGCAATTTGAGAAGGAAAAAAAACTTAAATCAGGACTAATAGATCTTTCTCCTCTCCTCCATGAAGAAGTTTTATTAATGGCAAAATAATTTATTCTATTCATCTATCTTTAATACTTGACATAAATCTTAAAGTAGTACATAAATATGACTGAATTATTATTATCCTTATTAGGACCAATGGTAATATTTATAAACTCTTCTGAAATTTTCATAGAAAAATTTTTGTAAAACTTTGAATACAAAGGGTAATTAATTTGGTTTTGATTTGTAATTTGTAGTGCTAGTGATAGCACTAACTTATTTCTTTAGTAATTGATTTGGTTTTGATTTGTAATTTAACCCTGTCATAGCACCAATTTATTTCTTTAGCAGCTGGAAAAATTCATAGATGATGCTTTAAGAAAAAATGACTTCAAACCTTTAGAACAGTTTCTGCAGATGGAAAATTATGAAGATATCACACTTAAATGCAGCAAACAGTTTCTCAGCAAGTTGGACAACCTTATGTGCAAGGTAAAGTTTCAATTCTAAAAAAAAGATTGGATGTCACACCACTGTTAACAAGTGACTATTTTGTTTAAATGTTCCTGCCAGAAAGAAAATTGCCATTGTAAGAATCAAATTAAAGTGTTTGCTTAAGAATAACTATTTTAAAACATCTTTAAAATGCTTTTTTTTGTCCAAAGTGATTTAGAAACTTTGGAAATATTTGCTTAACTTATAAAGTATTTTCAAAGAAAGAAAACATGTTTTGGTTCTTCCAAGTAAAATATGCAAAATGTTGTATCTTCACAGGATTACCATATTGTCCAATATCTTTGTTGAAAATGGTTTATCTAGTTGTTTGATATTGAGCATATTAAACTACTGCTTAACTCATTTTTAAACTTTTTAACTAGCTTTTATATAGACATGCATGAGGTTTAAAGTCTTAGGTTGATTTTGTTATTAATATCTTAAACATAATCTTTATACATATATACACACACACATACATATATGTATATATTTTTTCCCAATTACATGTTAAAACAATTTTTAACACTTTTAAAAAAAAGTTTTGAGTTCCAAATCCTATCAGTCTCTCCCTCTCCTCCCCTCTCCGAGACAATAAATAATCATATATAGATATATATGTGCAATCATGTAAAATATTTCCATGTTAGTCATTTTGTACAAGAAGACTTGAATGAAAGAAAGTGAAAAATAGCATGCTTCAATCTGTATTCAAACATGTATCATTTCTTTCTCTGGAGGCAGATAGTATGCATCATCATTAGTCCTTTGGGATTATCTTGAATCATTTTGTTGCTGAGAATAGCTAAGTCATTCACAGTTCTTCCTAGTACAATATTGCTGTTACTGTGTACAACATTCTCCTGGTTCTGTTCACTTCATTTTGCATCAGTTCATGTAAGTCTTTCTAGGTTTTTCTGAAATTATCCTGCTTGTCATTCCTTATAGCATAATAATATTCCATCACAATCATATACCACAGCTTGTTTAGCTATTCCTTGATTGATGGGCATTCCTTTGATTTCCAATTCTTAGCCTTAAAAGAGCATTTTTTATAAAATTAAAGAATTCAAATTAATAATATCTCTTAAGTAATGTTATATCACTCCCCCACACCCCCAGCCAGCAGAGGACCTTTTACTTAGAAATAGAGATCAACTGTTGTGAACTCCCTTTCTCCCTCCAATTCTGTACCTCAAATGATTTCACCATTTACCTTCTCCCCCAACTCACATTCTCTTTTTCTTTTGGTGCAATCTCTGAAAAAGAGGTGACTTACTAGAGCTTGTCTTTTTTGTAATTCCTCCTCCTTATTCTCTAATCTTTAGTTTCTCTTATTGACTCCTCTCCTTCCTTGCTACCTATAGACATGCCCAGGTTTCTTCTATCTTTAAACCTTCATTTCACCATGTCATCCCCTCAGGCTATCATTCATTATCTTCTCTCTTTCACTACTGAGCTCCTAGTAGTAGCATTATCTCCTATTCTTTATCTTAACCCCTTGCAGTCTGGTTTTCAGCCATACAACTGAACTAAAACTGCTGTCCCTAGGTTACCAAGGATTTCTTAATTGCCAAATCCACGGCCTTTTCTCACTCCTCATCCTTCTTGAACTCTTCATTAACACTGCTGACCACCCCCTTTTCCTGGATACTACCTTCTCCCTAATTTTTTCCACATGTTGGTCTTCATTGATTTTTTTACTTATCTGATCACTTCTCAGTCTCCTTTGCTAGGTCTTTATCTGTGATCTGTTCCCTACATATGTATGTATCTCAAGCTCAGTTCTAGGCCCTTTTGAAAAACAGAAACATACACTCTCAGGGATTTCATCAGTTCCAGTGGATTTATTTATTATCTATTCAGATGTCTACCAAATGTACCTATTCAGCTTTAGTCTAGCTCCAGGGCTCTAGTTCTGCCTTTCCAATTGCTAGATAGATAGCTCCACTGAGTTACCTCAAAGGAATCTCAAATTCAACACATCTAAAATGAAATTCATTTTCTTTCCTCCCCTGCCAAACCCTCAAACCCATCCTTCTTCCTAAAGTCCCTCTTTCTTTTGAGGACATTACCATTTTTCTAAAAACTAATCTCAATTAGAATTGATTCTTCCTAACCCTCTTAACTTCCTAACCCCCCATATCCAGTCAGTTGTCAAGTCTTGTTGGTTCTACCTCAACAATATCTTCCACTCATATGACCAAAATCTTAGTCTAAGTCCTTTAAATTCTTGCCTGAACCATTGCGGTAACCTCCCAGTTGGGCTCTTGGCTTGCAGCTTCCCTTCTCCACTCCATCCTCCATACAGCTGTCAGATTGTCCATTTTGCTTTCTATTACCTCTGTTAAAATATGAACTCCTGTCTCACATTAAAATCTTTCACAATCTAACTCTAACCTGTCTTTTCAGATTCCACATACTATGTTGCAGCTAATCTGACTTACTTACTTACTTTCCCCATGCATGATGTTACCTCCCACCTCTGTGCTCAAGCTATCCCCCATGCCTAAAATGCTCTCCCCACCTCTTAGAATTGATACTTATCTTCAGATTCAGCTCAGGTTCAACAACTTTCTACACAAAGGTTTTCCTGACACCTCTCTGTTATTAGTATTCTCACAAAAAATTACTTTGTATTTCTTCTCTGTATTTTGTATTTCTTTATGTATGTGTAGTTTTGCCCCCAGTAGACAATAAACTACTTGAGGGCAGGAGCTGTTTTTTGACATGCTATTCTAGGGTCCAGAACAGTCTGTTTTACAAAGTAAATGGATAAGAAATCCTTGTTATTGTTTCTGTATTTTGACTAGAATTAATTTTGTACAATGAAAATTATTTGATTTATTTCATTGAATATCCTTTGTATATATAAGAGATATTTACTATTCTGTTTTATTTTAGGAACTTAACAAAAAAGATATCCAGAATACTTCAACTATTTTAAATTCTCTTGGAAAATATGGCAAAAATATCAGCATATTTGGGGAAACTGGACTTCTAGTAATGATAAAACAAGGGCTAGTCAAAAAGATAAGTATATTATAAACAAAATATGTCTTAGAAGGTAAAATGTCAAGAAGAGTCTGTTTTAAAAACAATTTTTAAGAAAATGTATCTCTTGAAGCACATCCAAATTGCTGGTTATTTCTCCCTACCTTAAAACATATGCCTATCATCCTTACCCTTAAAATACTCCCCTTTAATTCTAGCATTCCTTCTAGCAACATCTTATATATGTCCTCCATTTCATTGCTAAATTCCTAGAAAGATGGTCTGTGATAGGCAGCGTGGTATAGTACAGTGAGTTCTGGACTTGAAATCAGGAAGGCTTGAATGTTGCCCCAAATACCTACCAGATATTTGACCTTGGGCACGTCACTTACTTTCAACCTCAGTTTCCCCATCTGTAAAATGGGAATAATAATAATATCTACCTCACTGGGTTGTTTTGAGGATCAGATGAGATACACAAAAATCATATATGCCCATGGAGTAGTGAGATACCAGATATATAGTCTACCCCATGTGATTGTAAAATGCTTTGCAAATGTTAAAACTGTCATATTATTATTTTGTGGTTGCTGCTTCTGTTTCCTCACCTCCTTGAGATCTGGCTTCTGACCTCCGTGTTCTATTGATAGTACTCTCTTAAATGTTAAAACAATGTCCTATTGATTGCTAAATCTGATGTTCTTTTCTCAGTTCTCATTTTCCTTGACCTTTCTTTTTCTTTCTTTTTTTTGGGAAGGATATTCAGTTCTAGTACTCATTATCCATTTCTCCAAACCCCTTTCTTCCAGTCCAGTCAATCCAATAAACATTTATTAGACACCTGCTATGTGCCAGGCAGACATTGTACTAAGCTGTGGGGATACAATTAATGAAAAGCTCCTCAAGGAGCTTACAATCTAGTGTGTGAAGACAACACATAAAAGGAGGCAGGAAAGCAAGGTTGGAGATGGAATAGGGGACATCTTGTTCCATGGAGACCAAGCATAGCAGCAGATGCAGAGTGGACTTCTGTGAGCCTGCTCTTTTCTACTTGTCTGAGTATTTCTGTTCAATAGCTTTTGCTGTTTCTTATTCTCCCCAATATCCTAAGTGTAGATATCTTCTAAGACTCCTTTTCCCCCAATTTATATTCTTTGCCTGAATAATTTTATCTGCTTCTGTGGATTCAATTATTATCCCTTTGCAAATGACTCAGATTTTGGTACCTAGCTTTGATCTCTCCCCTAACTTCCAGCCTAATATCTTCAATAATCTTTTAGTCATAGCCATTCCATGGCACCTCTGGTTCCATATTTATAAAACTGAATTAATAATTTTCTCCTCCTAGTTTATCTGCTTTCTAGAAAACTCTTTTACTAGGGGCAGCTAGGTGGTACAGTGGATAGAGCACTGACCCTGGAGTCAGGAGGACCTGAGTCAAATCTGGCCTCAGATACATAACACTAGCTGTGTGACCCTGGGCAAGTCACTTAACCCCATTGCCTAGCCAAAAACAAAACAAAACCAAACAAACAAACAAACAAAAAAAAACCAACCCAAGAAGTCAGAGGTCTGGATCAAAAATCAACAAGGGGCAGCTAGGTGGCGCAGTGGATAGAGCACCGGCCCTGAAGTCAGGAGGACCTGAGTTCAAATGTGGCCTCAGACCAAACACTTGACACTTACTAGCTGTGTGACCGTGGGCAAGTCACTTAACCCCAATTGCCTTAAAAAAAAAAGAAAACTCTTTTACTACCATCCTTCTAATTATCAGTCTGGAAACCTCAGTCCATCTTTGATTCTTCTTTTTCCTTCATTCCCACATTCAGCTAGTTGTCAAGTTCTTTTGCTTCTGCTCTACCTATAGCTCATTTCTCTTTCATTCTCTTTGCTCATACTGTCATTTCCCTATTTTAGGACCCCATTACCTCTTATGTTTTAACAAGGTTTTTATTTTTATGTGAATTTAATCTCTTTTTTGTAATAGCAATGCTTCACAATTTTATATAAATTATTATCTTCTCTCCAACCTAGCCTTCCTACAACTACCAAAATATTCTTTATAACATGAAATGAACGTGTCACCCCCTCTCCTCAAAAAACTTCATTTTCCAATTATGTATATATAGAATGTAAAAATTTCTTATACTGATACTTAGGTCTCACCACCATCTTTCCAACCTTATTTTATATTACTGTCCATGCAGCTGTTTCCAAGCTTAAAATACGGTCTTCTGCTGCATTGTACTTACACACACTGTTCTCCATGCTTGCAGTGTACTCTCTCCTGATCTTTGCCTACAATTTCCACTCTGTTCAAGTCATAGCTTAGATGTCACCTTACCATATTCCTCCCTTGATTCTGATAATTTCTGAAAGTGTCTCTCATTTAACTGTTCTTAAAGCACTTTGTCTCAATCTCTCCTTTCCCTCTTTCATATTCTTATCTTCTATTAAACTTATTCTTAGAAGCATATAAGACAATGCTTTGCTCATAAGATATGCCTAAAAATGTTGAACTAAATTGAAAAAAAAATTTAAAAAGTGTTTATTAGCAATTCTATTTGTGTGCCTGTAAGGAAACATAAGAAGAAATAATATTTTCAACCTGTTTGACTTAAAGTGCATATGTTAAATATATATTGAAATTAGAATCATATAAGGTACATAGTTATGACCACCTTAGTTCAGGTTATCATTACTTTTCTGCTGAGCTATGGCAATAACTTTCTAACCCTTTCCCTATCTCCTGTTTTCTTATGACTTCATTGTTTTTTATACAGGTCTATCTTCTTAATATACCAGTCTAGTGATGTCATTTTGCTATAGCCTACTGTAGTCTAAACTACTTAGCATGACATTTAATTTACTTTATAATCCAGCAACAACCTAGGAGGTAATATATAATAATTGGGGGAAAAACTGGTTATGAAGTCAGAAGACCTGGGTTCACATTCTCTCTCTGTTGTATTTTACCTGTATGATGTTGGGCAACTCACTTAATAGCTCTGGACCTCAGTTTCCTCATCTGAAAATTGAGAAGAGTTGGACTGGATAGCTTCTGAGATCCCTTTCAATTCTCAATCCATCTATGATCCTGCATTTCTAGTCATATTTACTGATTCATGATTTACCTTCACTGCTTTGATGCTCCAATCTGAATGAATTTCTCACCATTCCACAGAGAGATGCTAAGCTTTCCTGTCCCTATATCTTGTTTCCAATGCCTGCAATGTTGGTCCCTCCTTTCCTCTATGTGTATCCAGCCTTTAAAATCATACTTGTTTTTTAAAGTGACGTTCTATGTCACTTCACATATCACCTCCTGCATAATACAACATATCTTGTGTTCTCTCCATCCAGAAATTATTTTATATTTATCTTTTACATGTTAGATACTCTCAGTAGGCTGTAGGCTCCTTGAAGGCAGCAACAGTTTCTTTTTGATCTTTGTATCCCCACCACCTCGAACTGAGTATGGTTTTTCTTTTCTAGAAATTCTTACTATACCTTGTGTCTCTTGTTTATACCTATTATAGATTTTTGCATTCATGTTTTATATCCTGCATGCTATTTTGTAAGTGTCTTAATGTTAAAAATCATATCTCACTTATTTTTGTATCTAAGGACCTGTTCTGGACTTAATATTTGCCTAATATTACAAATTTTATATAGGCTAACAGGAACTATGGTATTAGATTATAGGAATATATGTAAAATTAAAGAAATTTTGTCATTTTATTTATATTGTACATTACTTAGAAAGTAAAATGAAATTATAATAGCACAATTCCTTTTTAATTAGTAAGAAGGCAAAAATCTAAAATGAAATAAAGTTTCCTTTTAAATTGAGTCCAGTGAGTATTTATAGATTTTTACTGTATGTAAGACCTTAAGAAAGATACAAAGGTAAATAGTATCCTTACTGTTAAGGAGCTTATAAGTAAAGAGTATCACAAATCTAGAAGAAGATGGAAGGTGATAAATGCTGTACAAGAGGTAAAATGTTGGGGAAGCTAGGTGGCGCAGTGGTTAGAACTCTGGCCTTGGAGTCAGGAGGACCTGAGTTCAAATGTGACCTCAGACATTTGACACTTACTAGCTGTGTGACCCTGGGAAAGTCACTTAACCCCAGTTACCTCACCAAAAAAAAAAAAGAGGTAAAAAGTATTTGGGGGTTCAAATAGGAGATCTGGTTGAGGAAGCTGGGAAGGCCTTCAAAGAGGATGTGGGTCACAAAATAAGACTTGAAGCTGGGCTTCATTGGACAGATATAGATGGAGGTTGTGTGTGCATTCCAAAGCAAGCAGCATAACCAAAGACTGGGAGGAGGAATAAGTAACATATTTTGCTGGAGTATAGGGTATATTGGAAAAGATGATGATTGAGGTTTTTTCCAAGGGCAGGTAGGTAGCACAGTGGATAGAGCACTGGGCATGGAAGCAGAAAAAAATCATCTCTCTGCGTTCAAATCTGGCCTCCAACACGTATTAGCTGTGTGACCCTGGGCAAGTCACTTAACCCTGTTTGCCTCAGTTCTTCATCTATAAAATGAGCTGGAGAAGGAAATGGCAAACCACTCCAGTACCTTTGCCAGGAAAACCCCAAATGGGGTCATGGAGAATCAGCTACGACTGAAGAACAACTTGACAACAGTTAACAAAAGGTTTTTTCCAGTGCTAAGATTCTGCAAGTTCTGTGAACAGGGAAGATAACTTATTATCTTTCCAGCATCATCTATTACAATGAACATACTAAAACTAGGGGATATTTAAAAGGTTTTTAAAATCATATTTTTAAAAATTAACAGATATTTTCTTTTTTTCCCATCACTCCTCCTCTCATTTGGGAAAAAAAGAAAAAGAACAAAAAATTACTTTAATAAATATGACTAGTCAAGTAAAATGAATTCCTGCGTTGCCACATTCAAGAACTAATGTCTCATTCTTCCCTCTTGAGACCCTCACTTCTCTGTCAGGAAGTGGGTAGCATTCTTCATTATCTGTCATCAGGAATTGTGACTGAACATGGTGTTGATCAGAGTTCAAAAGTCTTTCAAAGTTGTCTTTATGTATTGTGATAGAATAATTGTTCTCATGATTCCTTATCTGACAGCATCAATTCATAGTGTCTCTGAAATCTCCATTTTATCATTTCATGCAGCAGTCATATTTCATTACATTCATATGCCGTAATTTGTTCAACCGTTCCCCAGTTGATGGGTGCCCCCTTAGTTTTCAGTTCCTTGCTCCCACAAAAGGAACTGATATAAATATTTTTGTACATATAGGTTCTTTTCCTTTCTCTTTGGTCTCTTTGGAGTATAGGCATCTCTGAGTTAAAGGGTATACACAGATGAATGACATTTTGGTCATAGTTCCAAACTGCTTTCCAGAATGACTTGACCAGTTAACATCTCTTTACCAGTGATGCATTAATATGCTTACATTCCAGCAGCCCCTCCAACAACTGTCATTTTCCTTTTTTTTGTCAGCTTTGTCAGTTTGATGGGTATGAGATAGAAACTCAAAATTGCTTTATTTTGCATTTCTCTTATTAGTGATTTGAAGCATTTTTCCTGTGACTGTTGATAGTTTGAATTTCTTCCTCGGAAAACTGACTGTTCATATCCTTTTACCATTTATCAATTGGTTTATGACTCTTGTTCTTATTAATTTGAAGCAGCTCCTTTTATGTCTTGGAAATTATACCTTTATTAGAAAAATTGCTGAAAAGATATTTTCCCAGTTTACTGTTTCTCTTTTAATCTTAGTTTTTGCATTGCTTTTGTTTTGTTTGTGAAAAACTTTTGAAAAAGTTTGATATAATAACAATTGTCCATTTTATCTTTTCTGACTTTATCCCTTGCTTGGCATCTAACTCTTCCCTCTTCCATAGATCCAACAGGAAATTTTCCCCTTGTTCCCAAAATTTGTTTACAAAATGACCTTTAATATCATTACTCATATATCCACTTGGAGCTTATCTTGGTGACTGATGTGAAGTGTTGATGTTACTCTAATTTTTGTTAGACTGATTTACAGTTTTTGGTGAATAGTGAGTTTTTGCCCCATTAGCTATGGCCTATGGATTTATTGAACACTAGCCTATCTGGTTTATTTGCTTCTGTATGTTATGTACCTAATCTGTACTACTGATCAATTTCTTTATTTTGACCAGCACCAAATCATTTTTATGATCACTTATTGCAGTTTACTTTGGGCTGGGTCTACTTCCTTCTCCCCCACTCCCATTTTTCATTATTTCCTTTGAGATTTTTGACTTGTTTCTCCAAATGAATTTTGTTATTTTTCTTTGTAAGAGCAGTTCTTTGGTAGTTTAAATGGTATGGCACTGAATAAATAATTTAGATAATATTTTAATTTTTATTATCTTGGTCCAGCAATTGATGTTTTTCTAATTATTTAGGTCTTTATTTCTCTAGGGTATTTTGTAGTTATATTCCTATAGTTATTGTTCATATCCTGGTAGGGAGACTCCTGAGTATTTTGTGCATTCCGTACTTATTTTGAATGGAATTTTTCTTTTCATTTCCTCCTGCTGGATTTTGTTAGCAATATAGAGAAATGTTTGGGTTTTTTGTTTGTTTGTTTTTTGTTTATTTTTGCGAGGCAATCAGGGTTAAGTGACTTGCCCAGGGTCACACAGCTAGTAAGTGTCAGGTGTCTGAGGCTGGATTTGAACTCAGGTCCTCCTGACTCCAAGGCCGGAGCTCTATCCACTGTGCCACCTATCTGCCCTATTAGCTTATAGAGAAATGTTGATAATTTATTTGAATTTATTTTATATATTGCTATTTGGGTGATGTTGTTTCAATTAATTTTTGTTGACTTTTTAGGGCTCTCTAGATAGACCATCACATATAATCAGCAAAAAGTGATAATTTTGTTTCCTTCTTGCTTCTTCTTTGTACTTCAATTTCTTTATCTTATCTTATTGCTATAGCTAGTATTTTTAGCACTGTAGCAGAGAGCAGTGGTACTAACTGACATCTATGCATTACCTCTGTTGTTACTGGAAAGACCTTTTGTTTTTCATGATGTATAAGCTGGCACAACTCGGAAGTTTAAATATTAAAAATATAAGTAGTTTTTCTCCTGGAACAAGGATACTGTTAATTTAAGCCAATCCAGGCATTAGGAATCTATTTTCAGTTTATTTTTGGAAACAAATGTTTAAATAAATTCTCTTAAAATACTGTTATTCTTTTTAGAAACCCACATCTTGGGACTTTTACATTTTTTATTAGTAGGTTACCTAGTTGTATAATGATAACTGACACATTATTTCATAAAGTACTTAAAACTGAAATTAAAATGATTTTTTTCCCCTTTACATGGTAGCCTGGTTTGAAAAAACCAAAGAGATTATTTTAAGTCTCAAGAATGAAAAAGATGAAGCCATGACGAATCTGATAGAAGATTTCTTTGATGTCTTAATGGTAAAAAATAAAATAAACCCCTTTTTAGAGTAATTTTACAAGACTTGTGATAATTAAAGCAAATTGTGTACTCTGTACCTTGTGCATTAAAAAAATGCACTAATATAGGACATAGGATAGCCATTCAATCTAGGTTTTATAAACTATCCTAATAAAATAATTAAATGCTCATTTTATTTTTAATTGAAAAATTGTACAATCTACCCAAATTCTCTATAGTGTTTTTAATAGCAATTTATAAAATAACTTTTATAATATGAACTGTACTAAATATAAAGTAGTCAATTACAAATTGATCACTTTTTTCTTTCAGACTGTTCATGATATCAATAATGAAGGTATGCTAAAAGAACAGGATTTAAGTGATGTTATTTAGATAATTACTGTTTTGTTATATTATAATGAATGAGTAATTTTTAATAGTGCTATGGTGAATGCTCAGTACTTGACAATTTAAAATATTGTAAATACCAGAGTAGTCTTAAACATAAGGCCTACATGCTAGGAAAAATAAGCATTTGATTTTTGGCTATGCAGTGCCTAAGTAACCTATATATAGTTTTTATAAATATGTGTATGTGTATAGGAATATGTATGTACATGCACATATACACCTACACACATGTATATATTTGTGTATGTGTGTATAAAATTGCCAAACCAGAACTGTATTCACTATGTTAGTTTGAGGAGAAAATAACTGAGCACTATAGAAGATTTATATCCTTCTTCAAAGCCCTTCAATGTTTGAATGCTGATTTCTGAAATGATGAACATAGGGCCATCTAATAGCTCTGATCTAATTAATCCACAGGGATTATTAATTGTCTACTATGTACCAGTATTTGTGCTAGGTCCTGGGGAATACAAGTACAAAGAAATAATTCTTTGCTAAGTATTTACAATCTAATGGAGGAACAATACATATTTATAGAATAAATATGTGAATAAATATAAATAAATATGTCAATAAATAAATAGTCAAATACACGTTTGTTTGGGAGGCAGTGCACTATCTCAACAAAGTCTATACAAAAAGTGGTACTTGAGCTATATCTTGAAGAAAGGGACTCTGAGGTAGAATTAAACAGGGAATACATTCCAGGTTTGGCAACAGCCAGTACAAAGGCACAAAGATGAAAAATGGAGTGTTGTATGTGAAAAACAGAAAGATAACCGGATTGACTGGATTGCAGAGTGTGGGAGGGTGAGTAATGTTCATTGAGGCTGGAAAGACAGGTTGTAGCCAGAACATGTAGGCTTTAAATCCTAAGCAGAGTAGTTTATATTTTATCCTAGAGGCAATAGGAATCACCTCGAATTGATTGATTAGAGGAATTACATGGTTAGATCTGGCCTTAAGGAAAATTACTTTTCTAGCAGTGTGTTTGATAAATTGGAATGGTGAGAGACTTGAGGCAGGTAGACAAATTAGGAGGCTATTACAATAATATAGGTTAGAGAAGATGAGAATCTAAAGGTGGTAGCTGTGTAACTGGCAAGAACAGATCATATCTGAGAGATGTTATGAAGATTGAAACAGCAAGATTTGGCAACTGATTGAGTATGTGGGATGAGGGAGTGTTAACACTCTAGGGTAATGCCAAGGTTTTCAACCTAGAGGACTGGAACCTGGGAATGCTTTCAACAGAAATAGAGACATTTAAAAGAGTTAATCTCCTTTGGGAGCAGAGAAGATGAGTTAAGTTTTTAGTATGTTGAGTTCAATATGTTTCTAGAACATCCAGTTTGGAATGCCCAAGAGAAACTTTGTGATGCAAGAGTGAAGCTGAGGGGAGAGAGTACAACTGGATAGAGATATCTGGTAGTCATCTGCATAGAGATGAATGATAAACCCATGGGAGCTGATGAGGATGATGGAAGCATAGAAGAAGAGAAGACTTAAGTCATAACTTTGAGGAACATCCATAAATAAGCCAGCAAAGGAAACTGAAGTGTGTCCAAATAGGTAGGAGGCAAACCAGGAGAGAGTGCTATTAGGGAAACCTGGAAAGAATAGAGCATACAGTAGGAAAGACTGGTCAACAAGGTCAAATGTAGCAGATGGTTTGAGACAGATGAGGACTGAGAAAAGACCCATCATCACATCTTTCAATTAAGAGATCATTGGCAGCTTTGGAGAGAGCAGTTTCAGTTGTGATGAAGTTGGAAGCCAGAGTGTGAAGGATTTGAAGAATGAGTTAGGAAGAGGCAGCAAGTATAGAGAGCTTTTAAAAGAAATTTGACTGAGATATACAATGAAAATGGTAGGATCTAGTAAAGGTTTTCCAAAGCCAAGTCATTAAAGAAATTGATCTATTAACAGTTGTTTCTAATCAAATCTATCTTAAAGTTGAAGGTACTTTAGAGACTCAAAGCCTTTTTTTCAGATGAGGAAACCAAGGCTCAGGTTAAATGATTTGTTTGATAAAACATAGCTAGATCCAAAATTCTTTTCACCTCACTTTTAGTTCTGTGTTTTTTCTGTTACTCCTCATGTAGTTTTTGTTAATTTATATGAGAAAATGGAAGTTATTTAAACATATCTATTATGTTTTAAAATTAATTTTCAAAAGTAGTAAAATATAAAATTTTGACTAGGTAAAACGGAAGTACTGGAAAACTTTATTTTGAGGATCTGTGCCCTTGTAGTCGACATGAGAATACATATCTGTATTCACCAGGAGGTAAAGTTATTTATTTTGCTTTTTTACTTTAGTTTTCTATGAAAATAATTAAATTTCAAAGAAGGTTTCAGAGCAATATTGTTTAAAAAATATTAAGTGTTTCTTACTTTTCCTTTTATAAAGTTAAAAATTATACTTATTTCAAGGATCTACAATTTCTGAGTACATGTCCTTCCTCTACTGATATAGATAGCAACCCCTCTACATTTCAATAGACAGTTTTTATGAGTTGCTATGGCTGAATAAATTTATCAGTTGTTGGCCAGTCTGTTGGCAGTGAATCTCTTTGGACCTAGATATGTTGGGTCTTGGACAGGAGATGTGCAGTTTGTTACCAGGCTTATTCTTTATGTCTTTCAAACTTGGTAGGATCTGCCAAAATTTGTATTATGCTGTCATGCCCTTTGAGTTTTCAACAAAGGTACTATGTTGGCTTCTTTTTTTAAATGCCAAATTTAATCTGAGCTAAGGAACTGCTTTTTAGGCAATGCTAATCTTGGAAATATATTTCTTCTTAAGTTCAGAGTTTCTGTTGAGAATCAAGTGTCTTATAAAGATGTGCACAAAGATAGTTTATTTAATTATATGTTGTAAATTATCGTGGCTGGTAGAAAAGCCAGATTTGAGATTTAGGATGTTTAAGAGCCGAATTTAAAGCCAGTGCTTTGGTATTTGAAATGCTAAAAATAGGCCTTTTTTTATAGTGATGTGTGTGTGTGTGTACGTAATAGGTGACATGCACATCTGTGTATATATACACATTCAATCTGTGAGATATATATATATATCGTATTCAGTCTGTATATATACATAGATATGCACGTAAACATGTATATATGTATGTCATACATATATGCATAAATACACATTAACACATACATATATGTATTATACCTTGTGATACAAATAGTAGTGTTTGATTATATTTACTTACCTCCAAAACAATATTGTTAACTCAAAGATAAAGACTCTTTTTTTGTATTTACATCTTCTGTATTTTAATGCTTTTTCCATTATAAAATATGATTATTAGAAAGTTTAGTGTGGACAGCTCTTGTCTACACGTTTTAAATTTTATTTTTGTTTGTATTAATTTGTCTAACATGTTTTTCCAAATGTTTAAGTTTTGTAGAATATGTAAAGCAACAGCTTTCAAATGTTTTGGTCTCCAGACCCCCTTTACCCCCATTAAAATTATTGAAGACCCCAAAGAACTTTTGTTTATGTGAGTTATATCTATATTTATTTTAAAATATGTGTTCATTAAAATAACGATAATAAAATGGTAACAAATACCTTTATTTAAAATATATTAATGAAACAAAAAATAGTGAGAAGAGTAGAATTATCTTACATATATTTTTCAAAAATCTTTAATGTCTGGCTTAATAGGAGATGGCTGGATTTTCATAATTGTTTCTGCATTCAGTCTGTTGCAATAATGTCATTTTGGTTGGAAGTATATGAAGAAAATCCAGTATCACACAGATGTGTAGTTGGAAAATAGAGTATTTTAATAGACAAAAAAGTCTTAGGATTCTTATGAAAATAATTTAGACCTCGTGATCTCCCTGAAAGAGTCTCCACAACTGTCAGGGGTTCTCAAACGTCATTTTGAAAACTGCTGGTATACAGATTTAATGTTTAAGGGAGCACTATTTTTTTTTCTTTTCCAGGCCATAAAAAAGTTGAATGCTATGCTTGACAACATGCCCCGAGATACCAAGAAAATAATTTCCAAACCAGAAATGTTTTCTCTCATGTAAGAATTTTATTTTGATTATTCTGTTTTAAATTAGAGAATCAAATGAAGAATTTTAAAGGGGGGGAACCTAAGTAATGGTTGTTATGACTTTACATTGCTATTTCATTTCAAATTAGATTTAGAAAAAAACGATTTTAAAAAGCTGCTTTTGTATTGTCCATAATCACATGCCAGTACATATATCTAAAGTTGTAATGAGATTCTGAATTCTAGTGATAGATACGCATTTTTTTCTTATTAATGCTTCAATTAATGTTCAAGATCAGAGGTTAAATCTTGTTCTGTGGTTCTTGAAATGCTAAAAATTGTGATATAACCTGTTTTAATTCACAGGATTGATATGGGAAAACGGATATTAGATGCTGGGGGTAAGGATATCCTTTCATAATATTCATGTCTGAAATTACTCCATATTTTTCAGTGGAATCCATGAATTCTCAAGATATAAAATAATTATGTCTACCTAGAAATTACCATTACTTAAGTGCTTCAAAATACTCATGATTTTATATGTTATTTTCCCCTCCATTAGTAAAGATAATGTCAACTCCACCCTTTCTGTCTGGAATTTGATGCCTTTTACAACCTGTACATTAGTCTAGATTTTCAGCCCAATTTCATTTTCATTTTCCCCTCCATGAATTCTGTTCTAGTCAAACTGGGCAACTGTCAGGGCAGCTAGGTGGTGCAGTGGATAGAGCACCAGCCCTGAAGTCAGGAGGACCTGAATTCAAATGCGGCCTCAGACCAAACACTTGTCACCTACTAGCTGTGTGACTCTGGGCAAGTCACTTAACCCCAATTGCCTAAAAAAAAAAAATCCTCCCAAAAAACAAACTGGGCAACTGTCTGCCCCACAAACATACACTGTGATCTCCTGATTCTGTTTTTGTTTGGACTATTTCCCTATGTTTAGAGTAACTTCCACTTCTTATTTCAGCATGTTGAACTCCTATCCTTTCTTTAAAGCTCATTCAAATTTCATTTCTTCCCCTTGTTTTATGTAATTTGGTAATAGACTTATTATGTAATAGTGTATATTAGAGTTATTTGTGTTAGTGTCTTATCTCCATACCATACTATAAGCACTTTGAGGAAAAGGAGCTTTGTAGGATCTAAGTGTTCTTGGCACAATAGGCTCTTTGTAAATATTTATTTTATGTACCTTTTTAGTAGAAAATTTTAATGAGTTGCTGTGACCAAAAGAATTAATCACCTGGTTGCCAGCCTTGTGATGAGGAACCTCTAATTATGTACCTAGCCTGGTTCTAAGATAATAGACAGTTTGTTCCTAGCCTATACTTTGCAACTTCATGGGTCCTACCAGAGTTTGTATTCTGATGATATAACTATTGAGAACCCTGGGCCCATGTACTCTTTATGTGCTCTATGAAGTAGTAGAGAATATTTTAGTGGAGGCATAAGGTCACAAATTTATCATTATTATTTTAGCTTAGAAATGATAACCTTCAATGCTTATAAATAAAGATGAGTTTGAACTGTAAAATAATAGTTGAGATAAGCAGTAATGCTATTATGCTAAATATATCTTGGACCTAAAACTAGAGTTACAGAAACCCACTAGCTAATTTGCAAAAAGATATCTTAATAAGAGATGTAGTTCATTAAATGGTGTTTTATGAGATTACAAAGTTTTAAATTGAAAATAAAATAATATCTTCTCTAAGAGGAGTTCAGAAGCATATTCGTTGGGTTGCTAGACATAGTTTTTTTTTAAAAAGAGTATCTTATTAAAAAAACTAAATTTAATTTTTATTTTTGCAAAATTGCTTTCATAAGAAATTCTTGATTTGATGTCTCCATACTGCAGAAGCCAACTTGTTTAAGATTATTCTTTGCAATAATCATTATTACAATCTTATACAAAAAGAAAAACTCAATTCTAGACTCTTGTATAAAACACTTATTTTTAAACAATATGTCTTTAAAATTTTAAATAAAAAAATTAAATACTTTGGGTGATAAATATAATTTATATACACATATATAGTTTACACAATAGTTATTTTAGGTATTCTATATATTTCTAAATAGAGAGGCAGCTGGCATAAAGTATAGAGTGCTGAGATTAGCATAAGGAAGGCCATGGTCTAAAATGTGCCTGTAATACTTGTTAGCCACATGACTTTAAGCAAGACACTTAAGTTGCTTCAAGTCACCTAAATGTGCTTCAGGCGGCTCTGAGGACACAGCATAAATTTTGGAGGCAATCGAGGTTAAGTGACTCACCAAGGTTAACTCAGTTAGTGAGTGTCTGAGGCTGGATCAGGTCCTCCTGATTCCAAGGGCGGTACTCTATCCACTGCGCCACTTAGCTGCCACCTTATTAATTGTTTTTGACATACTTTATGAAAATTGAAATAGGTAGCATTTGCATAACTTAATTGTGTTATTTTCCAATTATATATTATAATGCAATTTGTTTTTATAGATTATGACTTTCAAGTAGGTATCACAGAAGCTTTATGTAGAATGACCTCTGAAAAACAAAGACGAGAACTGGCATGTCAGTGGTTCTCAATGGAATTTGTTGCTAATGCATTTAAAGGGATTAAAGACTCTGATTTTGAAACAGTAAGTAAAGAACAAAAAGACATTATTTGTATGGACTTGTTATTAATTTCTATGAACCACAAGTTTCCCTTAAAATTTTTAAAATTCTATTTCTTCCTAGGACTGCAGGAGATTTCTGAACTATGTGAATGGCATGCTTGGAGATAAAAGAATGTAAGTTTGTAGATTCCCATGTTTCTATAACTTTATGGCTTTTGAGAGTTGATCTGGCTAAAAAGTTTATTACCCTGCAACCAATCTAGTGATAAGTCTTTCTGAAATGAATTAGGCTGGTTCTTGGACAGGAAATATAACCCTGGCCTTTTTTAGGCTTTTGAAGCCCTTCTTGGTAGATTTTACCAGAGGATCTATTGTTCTTCTAGAATATCCTTCAAGATTCCAAGGTTATCTGTCCACTCTAACTAGGAGCAGAATCATAGATAAAGAACTGAGAAAGATCATAAGTTTCATCTAATCAAATCTTCTCATTTGGGAGATGAGAAAACCTCCATAGAGGTTAAATGATTTTCTTAAAATCACATAGGTAGCCCATAGCAGAACTGGGATTTGAACCAAGGTGCTGTTAACTCAATCCAGTGATCTTTCCACTATTAGCAACTTTTCTGTATAACAATATAAAGATATTTCTAAAATTTATTGTTTTTGAGTCATTTCAGTTGTGTCTGATTCTCTGTGACCCTGTTTTGGGGTTTTCTTGGTAGAAATACTGGAGTGGTTTGCCATTTCCTTCTCCAGTGGATTAAGGCAAACAGAGGTTAAGTGACTTGCACAGGGTCACACAACTAGTAAATGTCTGAGGTCACATTTGAACTCAGATCTTCCTGACTCCGGAGCTGGTATTCTATCCACTGCACCACCTAGCTGCCCTATTTCTGAAATACTGTGATAAAATAGCTTTTAGAAAATTGTATTAGTGTATAAATAGCATATTAGTGAGGTGAAAACAACTGTCACCTGTCCAATTTTTTGCATGTTACTTCTCAGAATAGAAGGAAAGATTTTAATTAACATTTTAAAAAAAAAGAGTATTTTATGAAAAGGCATTCTGATTACTCATCAGTTTAAAAAAAAAAGAGGTCAGCTAGTCATGCAGTGAGAACCAAAAATAGATAGCCTATGTCTACCAATTTAGTAACAGTTCAAAACTGAATATTAATGTTTTATGCCTGATTGGAGACATAAGTATAAATACTGTTTAAGCAACTCCTACATTCTGGGAGCTAGACATGAAAAGTCTCCTGACATAAATGTCTATTTATTTTATAAATAACAGAAAATAAAGCTGTTTTTTTCTGAAATTTTTGCTTTAGGAAAAAATGGACCATACAATTTATCCCTATACCCTTTCTGATTATTGGTGATAAATGCACAAAATCATATTAAATTCAAAATAAATCTTTGAAGTCCAAAAAGTCACTGCATGACTAGCTGACCTCTTTTTTTTTTAACTGATGTGTGATCATTTTCATAAAATACTCTTTTTTGTTAAATGTTCATTAAAATCTTTCCCTCTATTCTGAGAAGTAACATGCAAAAAACTGTACAAGTGACGGCTGTTTTCACCCCACTAATATGCTATTTATACACTAATGCAATTTTCTATTTGGTGCCACTTATATTTTTTCCCACTTCTTTACCCTCCTAGGAATATGGACTTCTTTCTAATATCCTCCACATCGAGTAATCTGACTCAAGGATATATTCACAATTAATAGCAAGAAATTACTTTTTTAGTTAAATCAATTTAGTCAAAGTTGTTGATAAGACAGTCTCATATGAAGACAGTCTCAATTTCTTTACAAAAATACATTCCCCCAAAAATCTAGGAAAAAGACACAGTAATGGAAAAGCTAGGCAATATCTTATTTAAATTTTTGTGACTTCAGCTTGATTTCCATTTAACCTTTGGAAATTATCTTGTATTTATTTATGTGGGTTAGACTAAATAGACTAAAATATTTATTGTTTATTATGATTCTATTTTTTTATTTCAGGGTTTTTACATTTCCTTGTTTATCAGTATTCCTTGATAGATATGAGGTATGTTAAACATTTAATATAAATTTGTTAGATTTATCAGTGTTTGTGTATTCTGTTAGTTTAGAGATCTTTGAAGTACCACAGAACTGGATAGTTGTGGACTGCAAATCTATAAAAATATTAAGGGTAGCCACTGGTTTATGTCAATATATGGTCTATATGATTTAGTTTCTTAGAATGGATGTAGCTATTTCTCAGAGAATATTCCCCAAAAGATATTTTGTAGGAAAACATATTTGCATTTCATGACATTAAATTATAGGACCTAATAAGCCAAATATGTTCAAAACATATTCAAACATGTTTAAAATGTGTGTGTATATGTGTATTTTCAACCTGAACTATATCTTAGAGTAACTACGAATTCCAAGTGTTACCCTTTGGTGTAAAGTACAAAAAGAACACTGCTTTTTTTTGTCCTAAATTTACCTCTTTGAAGATGAAAGAGTGGGTATGCCCTCTAATTCTCATATTCTTGAATTTGGTGAGCAAGTCTATTCAACTTGAACAAGTTTATCCATTAATTTTGTTTAGCAGTCATTTTTCATTGTCATTGTTAAAGTGCTTTTTAAGGCATTGTCATTTTAAGGAGATTGTCTGTGATTTTCATTACTTGGTTTTATTAGCTACAGATACCTTCCGATGAAAAACTTGATGAATTTTGGATTGACTTTAATCTTGGTAGCCAAAGTATATCATTCTATACTGCAGGAGATGATGAAGTGAGTAATCTAGTTTCTTTTTTTTTTCTGCCATATACACATGCACATATACAAACACACATACACATTCCCTTTGAGAATATAGATTTCTTTATATGATCTTTTATTTCCAGCTAGTCACCATTTGATAGGCGAGTTCAACTTAAACCTTAATGTGTGTGTGTGTGTGTGTGTGTGTGTGTGTGTGTGTGTGTGTGTGAATGAATATATATGCACTCTTTGGGGGATTCATGGAGGACTAGTACCTCTGGTGTGAGGACTTACTGAGCCCTTTTCACGATCCACCTTTGCTGTCCACCTGTCGTTCAACTTTTATTATGGTTTCAAGAAGCTGTAGCAAGTGCAGCACCCACACCCTGGTAAACCTGTCTCAGTAGATGGACTAAACCAGGCTGAGGGTAACTGACAGGCCTCAAATCCATTGGTGACTTGGGGGGAATGTCTACTCCAAGCATGTGAAGACTTCCTCCCAGTGGAATGGGCAGATGAGAACAATTTTTTCCAATGGCCATGAATGCTGTTGAAGCAGGCTGTGTGGAGTGCTGAGAGCTTCGTCAGACATTGAAAATGCCAAGGTCATTTACTTCATCCTGGGCTGTCTCCATTCTTGACCTTTGTCCTGCCACTGGACTTTCATGACTCTGGAGGTTGATGAATGTGTTCAGTGCTGCCTCACTTAAATCCCATTTATGTGCAAGTGAAGACATCACCTCATGATGTCATTGGTCCTCTTTGGAAACTGAGGAACAACAATTCTGTGTGTGTGTTTGTATGCATACACACACACACACACACACACATACATGTTTATATATTTTAAAGTCTGCTTGAAGCTATTGATCTTCTTTTGTTCTTTTTGTCTTTTCTTATTTATTTGAGTATTTGATAGTAATGTAGGGGAAAATACACTGGATTGTGAGTGAAAAAATCTAAATTCAAGCTTCTATTACTAATTAGCATTCTGATTTAATCTCACAGATACTAAATTCCCTCATATTTGGTAAAATGAGTCATTTGGAACAGATGATTTCCATCATTCATTTTTAAATTTTGATTTCCAAATTCTCTCCCTCTAGCTCTTCCCCCACCCATAGGAAGGCAAGAAACATGATACCTGTTTGTTATTCAGTTAAGTTATTTGCATTACATATGCAAAATGTATTTCTATATTAGCCAACTAGATGATTTCTAAAATCTCTTCCAACTTTATGATTCCCTAATTCTAGATCTAACAACAGGCAAAAGCAGAGGTTTTGGTAAGTGAGCAGCAGATGTTAGAGAACTGGCCATGAAGGTGTTCAGTACAGTACTGCAGTTTCTGTGAAGACCTGGGGACAAGACAGGACTCCACTTTGAGAGGATCATATTTACTGGGCATCTAAGTGTCCTCCATTAGATTATAGGGAGATTTATAGCAACTCAAATTATAATTTTGATGGTTGCAATTCTGGCCAACTAAATAAGATAGGCAAATAGATGGACCCAGTTTCTCTCATCTCCTAGGTCTTCTCCTCACATACTTTACTTCCATTCTTTCAGTTAGGAAACCTTTATCTGCAGACATCTAAACCTTTAGTGTTTCTATTGGCTGCACAACTATGAACTTTTATTTTGGGTGTTTTTTGTGTGTGTTGGAGAGTGGCTAGGAGATAAGGAGAGGTATAGAAGAAAGAACAGCATGAATTCATAACTAGTTTTATTCTCACTTTGTTATAATAGAAAAACTTTACTCTTATCCTCCTTCTTTCCTTTTCTACTCTCTGTTAAATGCTGAGGGAGATATAAAGATGAGTAAGATATAACCCCTTTATGTTACTTATAATTTAATATCTCCATTTTGACTTTAAAGGGTAATAATGGAGTCTTAAGTACAGGTATAGAGTCAATTAATTGGGTAGGACATTACATGATTATATAATGGTTAAGTGATGTTACTTTCAGAGAATTGAATATATTTTCTCTTTTGATTGTGTGTATGTATATACTATAAATATACAGATTAGCTACTTGATAGAAAATAAGAAACTTTAAGAAGTTTAGTTTTAAAAATAATTTTGATAGTACAGTCTTGAATCTAGCATTAATCATGTAATTTTACGTGTCTATTTTATTTTAATTTAAGGATCATCAGTGGGAAACTGTCAGTGTGCCTATTGATGAAGTAGAAATATACAGTGTAGAAGGTAATGTTTGTGCAATATTAGATTTTCATTTTTCCAGTAATCTCTGTTCAAAAAAGGGAACCTGAATTCACTGATACTTTTCACAATTTATTTATGTGCTTTCATCCTTGTCTTAACAAGTCATCCATAGAAATTATGTCTCATGCACCTGAAGTCATTTTATTCTTTTAACATTTTGTGGATAACTACCTATTCATGAGTCAGATGGTCCATCTATTATTGCTTATTCTGCATAAATGACTGACCTCCTTTTCTAGTCTTAGACTTTCGTGATGTCTTTTATGCCGCTTCTCATGTAATCATCATTGACAGTATGCTGTAGTACCACGCACATTTCAATTGCCTTTTGAGGCACCTGTAATTATAATCTGAGATAATCTACAATTGTGATAATCTAAAATGGTGGTGTTTATGATTTACAGCTATAAAATGTAATTGGACAGTACTGGTGTTTAAAAGATTTTCTTTTGTTGGAGTGAGAAGCTTGACTTCATTGAAAGCACTGTATATTTTCCCTGTCCATCCCATTCTTCTCCTCTTTCTCAATTCTGAGCCAGTTTCTTTTCTATCTGTGGTTCTTGCCTAAGATGTATGTTCTGATCAATCAATTAAATGAGTTCCTATCCAACTGTGTGTCAAAATCTGAGTAATATGTGTTTTTCATCTTTAACCCAAAACAGTAGTTTTTCTTGTATGTGTGGATATGCCAGTCTCATTTGGGTGATTGTGGATGTCACTGAAAAGGCTTTGTAATATTCTAGGTCTCAGTATAGTCAGTACAGTGTCATACACAAACAGAAACATCTGTAGAACCTCTCCCTCAGCAGGTAATCCCTGCTTTGTTTAGACTTTCTCCAAGATCTTCTCCATAAAAATGGTAGGCATTTTTGGTGAGATTATGTCCTATTTCATTACAAAGCTTGATGCTGATATTCAGGGTATCATTGGATGAAGTTATCTCTCTATTTGAATCTTAAAATATGCATAGTATATACTTACACGATCTTAAAATATGCATAGTATATACCTTGCAGAATACTAAGTTCCTTTTCTGTTATTCTCTATTCAACAAATGAAATGGTAGTTTCATGAATTGAGAGAGTACAGATACACTAAGAAAATAATCTAAATTCCCTTATTTTATTTTCACATAAATAGATTTGATACTTGAATGTTACCTTTGATGTTATTAGCAAATATTCATCAAATGTTCCTTATAATTTAAAGTGCTTTATTACATATTCCTGAAATATAAAATTTTAGTGCCTTCTAAGAAACTCTACAATATGAAAGAAGCTAACATTTATAGCAGGTGTGTTCAACCATGCCAAGGAGGAGCTATATAGACTTCTTTCTCCCCTTGTGTCTCCTTGATGTGTTTCCCTTGTCCTGAGTCCTCTTTGAGCCATGGATGAGGGTAGTATTTACAATAAACACTGGCTCAAATTACAACTAATTTACTCATCCTAGTTAATCCCTTGGGCTTGGTCTGTAAAAAGAGGCTACATAGGACTTAGAGAGCTGGTAACAAAGCGATTAGAAAAGGAAATTCATGGAGAGGCTATAGATAGACAGAGATATGCTTCCTTCAAGAGGCTCTCACACATATATATCCCCTCTAGAAACCAGTACCAGATGGAGACACAAATTTGTCTAAAGATACAAACCAATGGAGAATCAGAGATAACAGAAGGAGAGATGTGAAGAGAAGAAGAATTAGTACAGTAGGTAGTCAGGATGTAGAAGAGCAACCTAGTCATATTTCACTGATATTATGAGTCATACAGATAATGTGGGTACCAAGGGAAAATGGGACCTGCCAGAGAGGTTTGTTTGACTCTAGACATTCCAAATCCTTTTCCCTTTTAGGGACATGGTCCCAATCAGAGTAGTACTATAAGTCTGGAGCATTGCATCCTTCTTTGGGTAAAGTAGAAGCTTATTGGAGAGGGAAAATGAGTTATCTTAACTCTTTATAGGTTTTGGTGTAAGTCCTTTGTATTTTAAAAGTCTAATTAAATAAAACCTGTGCTAAAGTAGATGTATTGTTACTCTAAATAATTTAATGGGAGTTAAAGTGAGTTTCCACAGAGAACCCTTAGTGGGAACTGCTAGCCAAATTCTGATATTCCCAAGACAAAAACTCTTAAGTGGAGGTAAACCAAACCAAATTGTGATATGCTCCAAAGAAAGCCATAGAGTTATTATTAATAGGTTCCCAAGATAGATTGTAGGCTGTGTCAGCCTAGAACAGAAATAAATTAGCCAGATTACAGGGGAGGAATATTTGCCTAAATCCATGATCAAAAATAAGAGATAAAATAATCATATATAAAATATTATGTGGCTATTTAGTTGACTATAAAATAAGAAGATGGCTAAAGACTTATATTTGCCTCAATTCTCCCAACCTAGAGATTGGAGAGGAGGAATGGAATTAATCCCCCATAGAAATGACTTTTTGGCTTTCATTTTAATATAACAACATTGTTAATAGCTTACTGTATCCTGGGAACTGAGGATACAATGACAAAAACGAAATAGTCCACATTTTTAAGGAGATAACATTCTTAAATGAAGGGTGGGTTGAATACAACAGAATAATAACTCATAATCAACAAAGCATTTTCCTCAAATTGCCTCTGTCAGATAGGTAGTGCAAGTATTAGTTTATTAGTTATCCCCATTTTACAGATGAGGAAATTGAAGTACCAAGAGATTAATAGCACATGGTTATACAACTAGTGAATGTTTCAGATGCCATTTTAATTCAGGGCTCTGTCCATTAACAAAATGGGCTAGGAGTGTTTAAGTGAATTGTTCATGATTTCACAGCTAGTTAAGTGTCTGAGGTGGGATTTGAATTCAGGTTTCATTATTACAGTTTGAGAGCTCTATTCTTTATACCATGCAATACACAGTTAAGATAATTTGAAGAAACCAGACAATTAACAGCTGTTGAGTTCAGAGAAGACATCTGGAAAATGTGGCATTTGAGTTGAGCCTTGAAGGAAGATAAACATTTTGAAAAGCAGAGATAATTAAGGGGTACATTTAAGTAAGTAAGGGGGATAACTGCAGTGTATGGGACAGGAGATAGCTTTATTTAGAGATGGAAGAATTTGATCACTCCTTTTATGACAATAGCAAATATGTTTTTCTTCCCTACCTAATGTATATGGTTAAACCTTATCAATCAGAAATGGTAAAAATCAACTTGATGCATGTAATTGTATAATATAGATAAAATACTTGTTAATTTTCAAGGTATGTTTTGGGAGTGTCTTAGGTTATAATTTGGGGAGTTAGGGATGGAAATTTTGTACTAATAGCATAAAATATAAAAAACTAGGCATAAGTAGGTAGAGTACTTACAAGTAGGACCTGGGTATTACAGATAAGGCAATGATCTTCAATGCTTTGGTATAATTATTGGCTTGTCATCCTATTGTAAGCATTTTGTTTAAATATTTATGTTTTAAGTGTGGCTTAAAGGTGACAAGATACTAAGAATAATAAGTTAATTTTAAAATAATTACTCAAAATTATGAAATATAAGAAATATTTTCAAAGACAGCTATAAATTCTTCAAGTTGATCTGTAAATAAAATTATAATAAACTGTAAATATAGCACAGATTTGGTACAAAATTTGATATAAAATTTTAGCTGATTTTATTTTTCTTAATAAAGATTAATTTTACCTAGCATAAACTATTTAATAAAATATAGTTCATTGTTAGCATCTAGAAAAAAATTTACTTTGACCTTAATATTTTCAATTTAATCAATTTCATTTGTTCCATTGATTATGAGTAGATTTAATTTCATTTAGTGTAGTCTGTAGATGAAAAGATGTAATTAGATAAAGACTAATAAATGTGTTTTATTTTTGAATAGTGAAAGATGCTAAGAAGCTACTAACACTAATTCTGAAAAATACAATGAATGTTGGTAACAAAGAAGGAGATCAACTGCTTCTGTATTTTGATCCTTCGCTAGAAATCAGTGAAGTGACAAAAAAAATTTATGGTGCAAATAAGTATAGGGTAAGTTCTATCTTATTTCTCACAGCTTTTCATATTACTTACGTGACATAGAAATGTTCAGTTTCATGTATCAGTTCATGATATTGGAAGGATTACTATCTGAAAGGCATTCAATGTGGCACGTTAGAAAGAATGCTAGATTTGGAAGAAACAGAGTTGCTGTTTGAATATTGGCTCTGCCATTAACACTTGCATAGCCATGAGACACTTTCCTATCTCAGGAAATTTTTTTTATCTGCAAAAAGGCATTTGTATCAGATAACATCTAAGTTTTTTTTCTAGCTCTAACTCTATGATCCAGTTATCCTTTAATATTATGTAGTAGTTAACAACTCATTTGCCCAAATCTCTAAAATATCAGTAGTCTTAGCACCATCACCAACCAGCTATTTGACATTGGGAGAATTACTTTGAGATTCAGTTGCCCCATCCATAAAGTGACACATTTCTATTAGGTCAATGGTCTCCAAACTGTTTTCATCATAGATCCCTTGTCAATAAGACTTTTAAAAACATACTCTAAAATGTTATATATGTGTCTGTATACACATATATTTGTGTTCTTGTTAGTTATATGTACTGTACTACTATATTAATAACGTACACTTAAAAAACATATATACAAATTTTTAAGAGATGAAATATTTTATCCTAGAGTCAGTAGGTAGCCACTGGAGTTTATTGAAAAGTTAAGTAACATGGTCAGACCTGTGTTTTTGGAAAATCACTTTATAAGGTGTGTGGAAGATGGATTAGAATGGAGAGAGTATTGTAGCAGGGAGATTTTAGTTAAGAGTCTATAGTAATTCTAAGTGAGAGGAAATGCTGTCCTGAACCAAGGTGGTAGCTGTGTAATTAGGGAGAAGAGGACAGGTTTGAGAGATTTTGAGGAGGTAGAAATGATAGTATTTGGAAACCAATTTAGACTTGAGTGGTAAAAGCGAGAAATTGAAAATGACACTACTAGGCAAATTTATGCACATACTTATATGCACATATATAATGTACATGTATATCCTTCATACTTGAACATGACACTATTGATTATTCTCTATGAACATAGATATAACTAAGAAACCCCAATATTTATCTTTACTACTTTGCACTTTTGTGTTAATTAATCTTCGATTGCAGCTATAGCTAACATTTACAACATCTGCTGTGGTGAGCCCTGAAAGGTATTCTTTAAAATGTTTATCTTTTTTTCCCTTCAGCTGCCACAGTTAATTTCATCATATAGTTGTTACCAGAGGCAGCTAGGTGGCACATAGTCAATAGAGTACTGGACTAAAGTCAGGAAGACCTGAATTCAAATCCAGCCTCAGACATTTACTAGCTGTGTGACCCTGTACAAGTCACTTAACTTCTCACTCAGTTAACCTCATCTGTAAAATGGGGATTATATGATACCTACTTCCCAAGGTTATTGTGAGGCTCAAATGAGATAGTAAGTATAAAGCATTTAGCACAGTGCCTAGTGCTTTGTAAATGTTGTTATTATTGTTGTTGTTGTTATTATCATTATCTTTAAACTCTGGACCTGGAGTCAGGAAGACCTGAATTTAAATTCAGCATCACACCCTCACTAGCTGGGCAAATAACTAATCTGTCTCAGTCTTCTTAACTATAAGATGGGGATAATAATAGTACTCACCCCCCAGAGTTGTTATGAGGAGCAAATGTGATGATATTTGTAAAGCATTCTTGCTAAGTGCTTGCTGTGTACCTAGCTCATAGTAGGTGCCTAATAAATCCTTGTTCCATTCCTTTCCCACCTGGGTATCCACTGCTCTTATTTTTTGCACTTCTATAGTCTAGCAGAGTTGTGTTGGCATTATAATAGGCATTATAATAGGAAGAATTAGCAAATATATCCCAACTTTTAATCATTTCTGTCATAGGGGTTTACCAGGAAACAAGCAGTTTCAGTTGCTGAAAGAGAAGTGCATATCGTTTTTGATGAAAATGGATCACAGGTATTTTTCTTGCTTTTTAAAAAATTTTATCATTGAGTTGTATTTTTCTCCAAATAGTGAGTTAGTAAAATATTGTTAAAAAAATAACATGACAACATGGTATAGTAGATAAGAGTCCTGACCTTGGAGTCAGGAAGACATTAGTTCAAGTCCTACCTGTAATGCATGTGGACATCATAACTAGGCAGATTGCTGACCCATCAGTATCCCAGACATCTCACTAAGACTATAGGTTATGGAGTAATTATTGGTCTGTATCAGTGGGGGGAAAGTCTATACTGGGAGTTCCCTACACTTCTAGAATCACTGGTCCAACCTTTTTCTCCTTCCCCCTCAAAAGATAAAGAACAAAAATTAACAGGCAATATGAGTTCTCACACCAATGAAAGAATAATGTGACTTGGTGCATGAATAGCTAAAGAAAAAAAGAGAAGATTTGACCGATGGTAGGCATGAGATTAATCTGGATTTAGCTACATCAACAGTAATTGAAAGAGATAGTTGTGAAACATGTAAAAGTAGTAGCTGAGATCTCTGCTACTAGTGTTTGTGTGTAAACTTTTACAATATAGATTATATATCTCTAAAAATATCCCCTACCCCATTAATGTATATTAGTGCTCTATGAATTGTCCAACATTATTATTAAAGACTGTTTCGCAATTGTCCAGGTAGAATTGGAATAATCTGAGACATAGTGTGTATGCTTAGGCATGATCTTTCCTATCAAATTTGGTTTCCTAAAGGGCTTTATAGTTCTCTTGTTATAATGTTTTGAGTAATAGTTTATGAGTAGGTAGTTCAAGGGCAGTGATAAATTTTTGAAATGAATATTGATCTTTAATCAAGTTTTTATAATTTTCATTCATACTGATTTCTCATGAGTAATTAATCTATACAATTTAATAGTTTTTGGCTTCCTTATACAATTTGCTTTTCCAGAGTAGTTCTAAAAATTATTGTACTCTTAGGTTTTTTTGAAGATTACTTGAATTTCCTGTATACATTTTAGAAAATATTATGAATTATAACATTATTTAGCAATGTTTAAAGTCTTTCTTTTTTTAGCTTGCCCAAGTGTAGAAGTTTGTACACATTTCATTTTTTACTTGGATGTGTGACAGTATTTTTTTTAAAAAATCATAAGCAAATCTCTTTTAGAATCTGTTGTGTTTCTATATTTAACATTTTCTGTGGTCAGTTGTCCCTTAACGTTTCTTCAGTCTCTGTCCTAATTGTAATTTTAGCACATTAATGTGTGTGTGTGTGTGTGTGTGTATGTATGTATCTTTAATTGGGAAAGTTATTTTGAAAAGTAGAATTAACTTTTTAGAAGCATAGATTTCTTCAATTCTAATTTATCTACAATGTTGGAGGGAAATTGTTATTATATTGTATAATTCCAATGAATTATGCAGAATCATTTATAAATGACTTTGAAATATTCCTTTGATTTTAAATTTGTAATTGTTGTGTGACAATCAGCATCAAAAAAGGGCAGGGCAGCTAGGTGGCACAGTGGATAGAGCACCTGCCTGGAGTCAGAAGGGGGCAAGTCACTTAACCCTGATTACCTCCAAAAAATTTTGGAATTCAGAACTTTTTTTCTTCTTCCATACCATGATAGTAATAGAGAAAATTATCTTTAAGACTGTTGTATGACAGTAAGTATGCTGAGTTGACTCCTTTCTCAAAGTTTCCTATGTTGCTGACTCACATTATCCTTGTTTTTAAATTAATTTCACAAATGCTTATTAAGTGTCTCAAAAGGCAGTTTGACATAGTAGAGAGGAGGGCCTACTTCATTTTCTGAAGAAAAAAAAGGAAAAAGAAGGAGTAGAGGGAATACACAGAAAGGTTTAGCAATATGGTAGAGACATACAGAAACTGAATTGACCTTATTGCTCCCTGAATAATAATAGCTAGCATTTATGTAAGTTTATAAAGTACTTTACATACGTTATCTCCTCTGAGCCTTACCACTACTCCATGAGAAAGGTGCTGTTATCAGCCTATTTTACAGATAAAGGAAACTGAAGCTCAGCATGGTTAAATGGCTTGATTTGAATCATAGAACTCTAACATGTCTGAAGTAAGATTTGAACCTAGGTCTTCCTGACTCTTAAGGCCACCACCACATGCAATCTGTGCTATCTCTCTCAGGATGTGGGGAGGTTATTTGTAGTAAGAAGTAAATATGAGAGAGTTTTTGAATTTGAAAAGTTGTTTTTTAACTGCTATTATTGTGAATGAGGAGTCAATAAGAGATTAGTAAAATAATTCTTTCCTCATTAGAAAATAAGCTCCTTGAAGACAGGTACTTTTTTTCTTTCTTTTTTTTTTTCCTTTTTCTGTATCCCTAGCATTTAGTACAGTTCCTGGCACATAGTAAATGTTAATACACGCTTATTGATTGACTGACTGACATCACAGAATCTTAGAATTAAAAAGGACTTCATCAGTTATCTAGTTTAACGCCTATGCAAAAAAGACTTCTAATTATAGCACACTAGTCAGATCGTCATCCAGCTTTTCTTCGAAGATTTCCAGTGCTAGGAGATCCACCACCTCCCATTGCAGCTCATTCTACTTTGAGATAACTCTAATTGTTAAGAATGTTTTCTTTTTCTTTTTTTCCCCTTTCCTTACATCAAGCTCCTGAATTTGCCTCTTTGCAATTTTCATCCACTGTCGCTAGTTCTGTCCTACAAGACAAACAGGACAAGAAAAATCCCTCCCACCTTTTATGTGCTTGAAGAAAACTATTCTGTTCCCACGTCTCCAAATTTAATACTTTTAGTTCCTTACACTGAATGTATGACTTGGGCTTAAGAACCATCATTATTCTGGTTGCCTTGCTCTAAGTACTCTCCAGTTTATCAATGTTTTTCCTAAAATTTGGTGCTCAGAATTAATCACATTATTCTGGTACTATAGAAAGAACATTAGCTGTGGATTAAAAAATTTGGTTTAGATTTTTCCTCTGATGATGTTTACAGGTATTGTGATCCTGGGCAAGTTGATTAACTTTCCTGGGCCTCATTGTCTATTTTTAAATTAAGGGAAGTTGATTATATATCTTCTGAGGACCCCACTAACTTTAGATCTATGACCTTATGAAAGTGTAAGTGTAGCAAGACTATTTCCCCCTTTTTCCTAAAGGCTGTAACTCTCTTAATACAACCCAAGATCACATTAGCTTTGTGTGTGTGTGTGTATGTGTGTGTGTGTGTGTGTGTGCGCGCGCCTTATCACCGTTAACTCATATTGAGCTGATTGTCCTTCATTCTCAAAGAGGACCAAAATGATGTCACTATGTTGGGGTCAAGTATAGTGTGTGTTCAACTGTGGCTGATTAGACCAGTATAAGCTCAGAAGATTCTACCTCAGGTTGGGCACAAATAGTCGATATCAACATTTGGAGTGGAAATGACTCTAAATTTGCACATCTCATGTTTCTTTTGAGCCACTTCAATTCTGCTTTGCGACTATATTGCCTTCTTTAATGCAGGCACAGCATTCTGGGTGGTTCCGTGCCAGTGTCTCATATGTCTCACAATAGATTCCAAAGTTCTTCAGAGAGACTTTGAATATGTTCTTGTATCACTCCTTCTGACCTCTATGTGAGCACTTGCCTTGTGTGAGTTCTCTGTAAAATAGTCTTTTAGGCAAACACACTTTTGGCATTCAAACAGCATGGCCATCCCATTGGAGTTGATCTCTGCAGCAGAGTTTTAATATTTGGCAGTTCAGCTCAAGAAAGGACTTCAATGTCCGGTTTATTATCTTGCCAGGTGATCTTCACAATCTTCCTAAGGTAATTAAAATGGAAGCAATTCAATTTCTTGGCATGGCACTGTTATACTGTCCAGGTTTCACCGACATAGATCAATGAGGTCAGCACAATGGTTCTGTAGACCTTCAGCTTGGTAGGCAGGCTGTGGTTTTCTTTAATTTTATCTGTTGAACAAGCTATTTGCTTCTTTCAAATTGACTAAACATTTATTTCCACTTAGTTTAAAATTTTGACTGCTGTAATTACTAATTTTGGCAGCTAGGTGGCTCAATGGATAGACTATCAGGACTGCAGTCGGGAAGACTCGTCTTCCTGAGTTCAAATTTGGCTTTAAACACTTACTAGCTGTGTGACCCTGGGCAAGTCACTTAACCCAGTTTGCCACAGTTCCTGTAAAAATAAGATGGGGAAGGAAATGGCAAACCACTTCAGTGTCAAGAAAACCCCAAAATGGTGTTACAAAGAGTCGGATACTACTGAAATGACTGAACAACAACAAAAATCATACAGTTCTGAGGGGCTGCATATCTTATCTCCCTTTCTGAGAATTTAAACAGTTTAACCTTGTGTAGAACCTTACGATTGCTCACTCATATTTAGCTTTTTATGCTTACCTTGACTCCTGTGTTTCTTTGTGATATTTTTTAGTAGTGCTAGTCTTTTCATCAGGAATGCTTAGAAGTCCTCTATTTCATTAAGTTTTTTTTCTGTGTTTAATATGATTGTACATGTATAGCCTATATCAAGATTGCATGCCATCTTAAGGAGGGGGAGATGAAAGGGAGGGAGAAAAAAAATTGAGAGCTCAAAATCTTGTAAAAGTGAATGTTAAAAACTATCTTTGCATGTAATTAGAAAAAATAAAATACTATTATGTGGGAAAAATAAAAAAAAATAAAGAAGGAAAAGAAAAAAGTCTATTTTTTCCCTGTAGCATTATACTCAGTTGTACTGGGTAAGTTATTCTTGGCTGTAAGCCCATATCTTTTGCCTTTTGGAATAATATTTTCCAAGTTCTCCATCCCTTTATAGTGGTACTTGCTAATTATATGTGATCCTAACTATCAATACCTGGTACTTGAATTCTTTCTTACTGACTGTTAACAGTGTTTTTTCTTTGACATGGAAACTCAGAATTTTGGCTATTATATTCCTGAGAGTTTTCATATGGGGTTTCTTTTAGGAGGTGACCCATAGATTCTAT